GGGACCATTTCTGCCTGCTGTTGTAAGGGTTGATCTCCTTCTGGCAAGGGAAACGTAGGAAGGGGGAAGGCAGAGAACTGTTTTTGAATCTGTTGATTCTTTTGTCTTTAGTTCAACAGAAACACTGTGAAAGTGGCAGATGAAGGTGCTGTGTTCTCATTCCCTTTAGGAGTTGAAGCTTTTCTTTAGGTCATTCTGTCTAAAACGACTGTGTAAAATCTTGTATGTTTTAAATTCTGTATGAGAGCACCTTTTCTATGCTGAATTTTATGATTAATTATATTCTAGCTTTTTAAGGGTTCCTTAACACATAGTTTAAGAACTGTTCATAAGCAGTGATTCTAGACAGAGGTAATAGAGTGGTTTCTTAAAAATTACCATTTATTGAGCCTTTTTCTGTGTTCCAAGCACTATATTTTCTCCTTATCAAGTTTAAGATCCTACTGAATCCTCACAATAGTCAGATGTTCCTGTTTTATAGGCACATAACAACTTTGGAAGGGTGGTGGTGTTTTGAGGTACACCCTGGTCTTCAGACACTGAATTCCTTGCTAGCATTCAGAGGAGTTTTCAATTAAAGATCCTTACAAAAACAAACAACAACAAAAAAGAGAGGGCATCCTATATCCCTAGTGTTCTTAGTATCTCCTGTGACTGACTGAACGCCATCTGCGGGAAAGAGTAACTGCACAAGAGTGTTCAGAGGCCGAAGCATCAGCTTGACTTAGGACATTAGCTAAAGACAGCTGAGACTTCTTTTCTAACTAATTTAGGAAAGTGTGGGCCTTGGTAGTAGTTGGACCTTTTTTGAGGGTTCATTTTTAATGAGCTCCATCTTTTATTTTTTAGACTTCCCTTCCTTAACAGCATGTTTTAGGGTTTTTTCTAATACTTCCATTCCAAGAAATGGACCTTCGCTATGTGGCATGAATATTAGTAGTGTGAGAATTGGATTATGTTTAGAAGTTTTTTTAAAGTCAGTGTTGGAGGCATATAATTTAAAAAAATCTTCCAACCCAAAAAAATCTCTTCACAAAGGCAGAAGAGAATGAAGACAGTTTTATTATGGAATAGCATTAAACCAGACAGTGGCGCACATTCTAGGCAATTGCTGAAGAGATTAAGAAGACAAAAAATACCAGTCTTTTTTTTTTAAATGTGATTTTTAAAAATTATCTTAATACTTATGGCTACAGGATTTACAGTTATTGTCCCCCACCTTATTCCTTCTATCAAAAAGCACCACTACCCATTGCACACACACAGTTGTTCCACTGTTTTGTGTGTTTCTGATTAGCTGTTTAAAGACAATCCGGAATTATAACTTAATCTGACTTAAAGAATCCAAAAGTAAAGTCTAACTTGCTCCTACATCCATTACACTCGTTTTTAAAAGCACCTGAACTTACAGATAAATTATAAAATCTGAGAATTATTAAATATTCTTTATTTAATATTATACATAAGCCACACTAAAATGCCTTTCTGTAAGTAAGAGTCAGCATTTTAGATACAGGGAATTCTAGTGAAATGGGCATAGTGAAGACCAAAAATCTAAAGTAGACCTTGCTTTCTCCAACCATTGCCTTTAACAGACTGATGAGCACAGGTTGAAACATGTGAGTCTTGTTGGGCTCTGAGGCAGCGAAGGGATTTTCCCAGCTTTTAAGCATACTTGCACAAACAGTTATAAGAAGCTCAATGTAAAACCAGTCTTCTATGGGTTTTGAGATGGCCTTCCATGTCTTTGTGAAAAGTCAAACATTACTAAGTCCAATCATATCTTTAGAAAGGGAAAACAGTGACAGTAGTTACTGAACTGGAAATACTGTTTTTTTAAAAGACCATATTCACTTAATTACAACCTAGTTTTACTTAAATCAGGACTGTCCAACAAAAATATTCTGTCAGCCATTCATGATCTGAATTGAGGTGTATGAAATCAATTAAATATGCTACACATGAGAAAGCGATGAGATTTGTTTCGTAATAAGTGAGGAAGTGACTGTTACTCATTAGTAGCTTTTTTGAGATAAGTTATCGAGTCTGCCTTTTAAAGATCATTTTTGTTCCATGAATGTACTTTTGAGATTCTCCAAATTCTCCATCATTGTCTCCTCTCCCGGGCAATGTCTCTGTTCGTGCTGGCATCTGTGTAAGAGTCTCCAGCGGCCCAACCTATCTTTTCCCCACACAGACCTCAGACATTTGACCCCTTCTTGTGCTTGCCTTCCTTTTCCATGATGGGGCACTGGGCACACTTCTGAACAAAATCTTGCCTTCCTCAATATGGCTCATTTGTAATTTGCTCTCTCATCCCTAACTCAATAAAGGAACCTGCTCAGAAGCTAGATGTCCTGCTCTCACAGAATACGACTTTCATATAGCTAAGTGGTGTCTGTAAATCCAAACTCAAAATTCTGAAAGTAAGAATGACTTTATTTGGCGGTTTTAGGAACTGCAATTCAGGAAACACTTAGATAGCACCGAGTCAGTGTTTCGAGGAAGACAGTGAAAGTGGGAGGTTATGTTGAACAAACAGTGTTGATTACAAAGCAGTAAAAATGCTTTTACAACAGAAGTGGGGAGACTTCTGTTGAAGTTGAGAGCAGGTGCTATGTGGCAGGATCAGTAGAAAATGGAGAAGATCGCTATTGCGACCTTTAGCTGTGGACCTAGGGTCTCTGCAGTCAAAAGGTCTCTGTCCCCAGGGAGCAGCGGGACTCCTGACTTCATTTTGAAGGCTCTTGCATAGTAATTTCCTTTAATTCTCCCAGAGGTTATAACCCATCACATCCACATTGTCAAGATGAAATTGCTCACTTCTCATATCTTTATGAGGGAGGTTTTCCAAGCTGGAGTCAGGTGTTCAATTAGGCCCATCCCCTAAATTGGGTGTTATCTTCTTTTTTTTTTTTTCTTTTTTTCTTTTCTTATTCATATGTGCATACAAGGCTTGGGTCATTTCTCCCCCCTGCCCCCACCCCCTCCCTTACCACCCACTCCGCCCCCTCCATCTCCCCCCCTACCCCCTCAATACCCAGCAGAAACTATTTTGCCCTTATCTCTAATTTTGTTGAAGAGAGAGTATAAGCTATAATAGGAAGGACCAAGGGTTTTCGCTAGTTGAGATAAGGATAGCTATACAGGGAGTTGACTCGCATTGATTTCCTGTGCATGTGTGTCTTGATAGGTTATGTTAAGGTCTATAAGTATGAACTCGGAGGTGTAGAGTTTGAATACACTTAAGGGGAAGGAGAAATTCTGAAAAAGGAAAGGGAAAGTGGTTTCTTTCCCCCTTTATTTTCAACAAGGAGAATTATGCTGTGACTCCTAATTTATATCTGCTCTTATGCCAGATAATCAAATACACACCTATTATTTCATATCCTGGCCTTGGATGCCTTTAATGATTTAGGCTTGCTTGCAGTTAAAATAATGCTTGAACCTCCCGTGGCACTTTCATTGCCAGAACTCAAAGCTCTTCAAACTTTTTTTTTTAAGTTTTTACTGTCAACATTTTTTTTTTTTTTGGCGGGTGGGGGGGTTACTGAGTTGAACTTAGGGCCTCATGCTTGCTAAGCAGGCACTCTATCATCTGAGCCACTCTACCAGTTCTTTCTGCAGTTGTTATTTTTGAGATAGGGTGTCGCTTTATGCCCTGGTTGGCCTGAACTGTGATCTTCCTATTTGTGCTTCTCTGCATACTTGGAACTATAGACTTGAAGTGCCATTCCCAGCCATTGATTGAGATGGGGTCTCAAACTTTTTGACTGTGCTAGCCTCAAACTGTGGTTCTCTGGATCTCTGCCTCCCAAGTAGCTGGGTAGTTAGGATTATAGGCATGAGCCACTGCACCCAGCATTAACACATTTTTGACACTATGCTAATGCCACAGTGTCCATATTATACTTTTTTCCCCCTCTTATTTACTATGGGCATTACGGAGTTGTGCATTTTGAGAGTAGGATGAAGTGTGACAGTAACATTTTTAAAGCCAGCAGTATTAGGATCTGTGATACATGCTGAAATGGAGGGTTGGAGGTTTCTGTTAACTCATTTAGTTAGAAGATTCATACTAGGAGTAAGGTACTCGTAAGCTTCAGACTGGATTACCTGTCTCTTGTTACTGGGCTTTGAAGGATGCAGCCTCAATTCTACCGTTGAAAGCTAAAGTGAGTTGTTTGTTGTTTTGTACTAAAATTTCCTCTGGTAGGTAGCTTGTCTATTTCAGAGTTATCTTAAAGGGGTCTGTGAGACAGGACTTTGCAGGTTTGTAATTCAAGTCACAGCCATCAAAAATAGAATACGACCTGTTGGCTTTGTATTACCGGCATAAAAGAAGTCTCCATGATACTTGCCATATCATCTTTGTAATGTATACACAGAACCATCTAGGTAAATCATTGGATAATTTAGCAATGGCTTTGTAATGGTTGAGTTGCGTTATCTTTTAAAGAATTTTTTTTTATGGTATTGCTAGAAAAGAGATGAGTCTGAATTAAACAGTCTGAAATGTGGCACATGAGACCATGGTGGGGTACGTGGTCTTTGTACTTACTAAGTGACAGGGTAGCATTAAACACCAAGCAGAAGATGAGGTGGCTAAACTAGGAAACACACACTGACACACTGGGTGACGGAAAGATTTGCTCCTGTGAAGCATGATGCTCACTGTAGCGCTTGCTAAATATTTTCAGAGCCAAGTTTTACTGGGGAAAATGTCATTTAATGCCAAGATTTCTCCTGTGCATCTAACTAGATTGTACTAACAAGGTTTTTTTTTCAGTTTTATTAGAACATAAGACTAATTTAAAGGGCAGTCCTTTCAGACATGTACTGTCCTCTTGTCTCCCAGCAGATAAACAAAAACAAATTATGTAATGAGGGATCCTGTCCTGAGAAGTTGAATGTGACATTTTTGTTAAGTAGTCAATTTCTTAAAGTTGGTTTTAAAAAATGATTGTCTCTTCTAAAATATTCTCTCTGATTGCTTTTAGGTTACCTAGGGTATGAATTAATACAGACTTGGAAACTCTGAAAGAACTTAGAATCAGCATTTTGAGGTAAATATATCCACGCTCACTTAGCGTTAAGGTGTCCCAGTCTCATTTGTTAACACCTTAGCAAACAAAACCAATGTGTGTGAAGTGAGTTGAATTGTCCCATGGATAATGTAAGGACTGGAAGTAGAGAAGAGAACACTACTGGCTGGCTGACCCTTCCTGAGCTGTGGTAGTAGAGGACTGGAGTAAGCCAGGAGCTTACAGACAGTGTATCAGCTGACCACAGCGATGTGTATGGACAAGTTGTTTCACACGGTGCTCCATGTTTGCTTAGTTTTTAATTTATCATCTCATGGATTGGAGGCACCCCAAACTTAAACTTCTCCCAACGCTAATGTTGTTAACTCTTTTGAACTCTTATCATAAACTATTCTGTAAGAGAGTTTATAGAGTGGATTTACTCTTCTTTGAGTTTGTGTGTTTAATTTTGTTTCAGGAAATTGGAATTGTAGGATTCACACATGTATTAAGCACTTACTCCTAGGTTATTTGGATTTCTCAGCCAACTACTTTTGGTTAATGTCTTTATTTCTTTTGTAAACATTAATTTAGGAATCTGGCATAATACTTTTTATTTTTATATCCTGGATAAAACATCTTTAAAATTTATTATCTTGAGTTCTTTGCATTCACTTGAAATCCTTCCTTGATCTTTTCTATAGCTTTTTACTTCCCTAGTCTTAGAAAGTCAGGCATGCTATTGTTACAGCCTACTATCTTGTTCTTTGTTTTAGGATCCTAAAATAACCCAAATGCCTTTTGTTTAAAACTCAATACAAAATAATGGCCTTTTACTCAGCTCTTCATCACAGTAGGGCTCATCTGTGTGTATATTCAGTTTGCAGGAATCTTATACTTGACTATTTTTGCATTTATTTTTAGAGCAGAAGCTTGGGCATGCTGTGATTTTCCAATAAACTGCTATCACAATGTCAAAATGCAGTTCAGACAACAGCAACACAGAGATCTCAAACATTAAAACGGTAAATCTGTGATTTATCATGTGTGGAAAGACACAGAGTTTATTCTTGTGTTTTATTAAGTTTTTGTGTTTGTTTTTGTTTTTATGATACTGGGAATCAAACCAGGCCTTACACATGCTAGACAAGGGCGCTGCCACTGACCTGTACTCCCAGCCCTACTGAGTCATTTCTAAGTGAATAATCCAAAAGTTGTGAAACAACTTCACCAATTTCATGAGTAAATTATTTGACAAGAAATTTAAAACCTGCAGTTGAAAAGCAGTCACTTGGAGTGACTGCCAAAGCAGTTCTATAGAACGCTCACTTATCAGCAGGGAGTCAGGGCTTTTCACAAAGACCAAAGTAAAAAAAAAAAATCTGCTTAAATATGCCAAAGAGAGTAAAATTGGCAAAATGATAGGTTTTTCTGTTTTTTACATTATTATACACACTATTGATTTAAGAATCTTGTATTTGCTTTCCCTAAATAGAAAATACATTTACAGGAAGCAGCCACCACATATGAAGTGACTGAAAATTAATGTAAATACTGTGACCTCGTGGAAGGTTTAAATTTTGCTGCCTTCATTTCCTCTTGCTAGACCCACTTGTCAGGGCTGCTGGGAGAGAGATAATGTACATTTCCAGAACAAGTAGAGAGGAGCACAGACTGAACGAGCCATGATGCTGCACTGGGGCCGTGAGCTTTCATGTAAATGCAGATATGGAACAGGACAGTTAAGTGACACAGAGAATGAGATATATGCTTCTTATGGAGCCTGTGGTTCAGTTAAAAAAAATGTATATGTTTGTGTGTCTGTGAATATATGTGAAATGATTTGAATTATGAAAGGCAAATAGAAGTTATTTGTCATTCAGGTGTCATTGTTTTCTTTCTGTAAACCTGGGCCTTTTTGTTTTGTTTTATTTTGTTTCATTTTGGCGTTAGTGGGGCTTGATCTCAGGGCCTGTACTTGCTAGGCAAGAACTCTACCATTTGAGCCACACCCCCAGTTCTTTTGCTTTAGTTATTTTTTACATAGGGTCTTGTGCATTTTGCCTAGGCTGGCCTTGGAGCTCCTACTTACACCTCTCACATAGTATGTACCACCATGCCTGGCTTATTCTTTGAGATAGGGTCTTGCTAACTTTTTTTTTGCCTAGGCTGGCCTCCAGCCATGATCCTCCTGTGTTTGCCTCCCTGGTAGCTGGGATTACAGGCTGCATCACCTTGCCCTGTCTAAACCTGAATTTTTTTTGTTTGTTTACCCTGTTCTGACTGGTTCAGTTTAGTGGGTGCTCCTATATGCAAGGAAATCCTAGTCTAATTGATCATATTTGAGCAAGAGTAGAGATTTAAGAGAATAAGAATTGTTTTAAAGTTACAGAAGTACACCATAGTTGTTCAATGGATATGAGACAGTATATTCCAAGTTTATATAGACTGTGAGTTGTGTTGAGTGTGTAGGATTAAAATAAGAAATGAACACATGTAGGTGGTCCATCAGGGAGATGAGGCGTTTAGCTAACAGAGGTGAGCTTTTGCTTGTGGAAATGGCTGGTGAGTGATGATGAAGCAGAGGTAGTCCAGTAAGCTGCTGGCGTGATATGAGCAGAGGATGGAGATGGCAGGGTCATTCAGTCATGAGCAGGAGACAGTAGTGCTCAGTCTTTTGGGACCATGTATCACAAAGGTATGAATTCCCTTTTAATAGTCTATATTACTGCATGCACATCTTTTTGGGGAAAGCTGGTAGAATCCTTGTTTTTTGACTGTTGCATATTTCCTTTTGGTACTGCTATATTGTTACTGATATTTCTCTTACAATGCGTATCTATTTTTCCTTTATGTAGAGCCTGTGTGCTGATAAATGTACACTTTGAGCTTATTGTTGTTCTATGTCTTCTTCGCTTTTATTTTCAAATTGATTCTTAGAAACTAACCATCTTTCCTTTCCCTCAAACTCTGCAAATTGTGGGGTGAATGGGGCAACTTAGGAGAAAAGTCATTTCTGTGTTTTGAGATTCAAGGAACATAGCCTGGGCAGCAAGTCAACTGTACCTCCTCTTTTCTTTCCCAGGCTCTTTACCTGCTGGCTTGTAGGAGCAGGATTGTCACCTGTGGGTGAAGTTGGCATCTTCAGATGATGCTGGGCATGTGGAGCATGGTGGTCAAGGCTTTTGTGCCACCAGGATCTGGCCTGATTTGTTGGTCTCAGGCCAGTTCCCTGGGCTGCCTGTTTGCCTTTGTGCTCTCATTGTCTTGTCTCCAAGTAAGAGTTAGTCCTTTCCTTCAGTTACTGCAGAGGGACAACTGGCTGTCCAGATTTTCCCTAATTTATTTTTTTGAAAAAAGATTTACTGATAGCAAGTGAAAAAAAATACTCACGAGGACAAATATGGTTTTTGCTAGTGTAAATGGTCCTGGGCTCGAACAGCTTTATGGTCTTGCTGTGATCTAGCTGGAGGGTCTGTTCACCAGCTCTTATTTCCAGGCCCACAGCTTGATGTTTTCATCCCTGACTTTCTTTGTTCCTTCTTTCCTTCCTTGCTTTTCTGTTTGTTTCTATTCTTTTCTCTTCTCTTTTTCTACCTAGACCTTTTACAGATAGGGACAATGATTTAGGGTATCGTTTGAATTTCTTTTGTTCATCAGTCAGAAAGTTCTACTCAAGCTACTCAGATTGAAGGGAATTTGTTGGCTGTGTCATTGACAAGGGCATTCTTTGGCTGGGCCTTGAGGCTTATGGATCCAGCAGTTCTTTACTTTCACCTATTTCTTTATTTTGACTTGTCTACAGTGCTAGTTTCATCTGGGCTGTAGGGTAATTGCAAGAGGAAATGGGACTGGTATTTCTTTTTTTTCTTTCTTTTTGACAATACTGAGGTTTGAACTCAGAGCCTTGTGCTTGCCAGGCAGACATACTTGAGCCATTTTTTTGCTTTCATTATTATTCAATTAGACTCTCATTTTTTATGCTTAGGATGGCCTGGACTGCAATCCTCCTATTTGTGCTTCCCCAGTAGCAGGTCTGCACTACTGTGTCCAGACATTGATTGCGATGAGATCTAGGGAATTTTTTGCCTGGGTCGATCTTAAACTGCCACCTCCTGAGTAGCTAGATTACAGACGTGGGCCACCACGCCTGATATTTCTTGAGCCACAGAGAAAGAGTTTCTTCTCACCCATCAAATGAAAGTCCTACACTTTTTGCCGTTGTGTTAGCTTGAATCAGTTCATGTGATCAAAGGAAAGTCATTTGCCCAGAGCTTAGGGCTGTGTGGCCGGCAGATAGTAGAAAATAAGCAACGGATCCTTGATGGCCTCAGTGACATGCACAGTGTCAGGCGATGCCACTGCCCCAGGAAGCACAAGGTTGGCATCTGAGGGACAGCCATGCAGTCAGCTGTGCTTGTGCCTTTGCATACATGAAGGCATGAAGTATTCATTTCTATGACAGTGTAAATTATGAAAAGGAACTCAATAGTGTCCCTTGTAAGTGAGATCAGATCTGTAAGGACTACCTTTACTCAGATGTTTATTCCAGCATTATGCACAACTACCAAGATATTGAGATAGTCACTGTCTTTGAACAGACAAATGTGCACATGCACAGGAGCATTTCCAGAAAATGGAAGTAAGATTTATGCCATGAATTAGAAAGTGTGCTTCTTCAGCTTCCCTCTGTCTGTCTGTCTGTCTGTCTACCTACCTACCTACATGTTTCTTTTTCTGAGCCATCTGAGAGTAAGTTCCATACAAAGGTCTTTTATCCCTAAATACTTCAGTGCACATTTCCTAAGAATAAGGGTATTCACATAGCTGCAGTACAGTTGTCAACTTCAGGGAATTTCAACATTGCTCTTACGTATGGTTTTTAAAATGTACTCAATCATTTCCTTTATGAATGAGATTAGTATCCAAGAGATACTTGCTTTTGTATGTTTATTGCAGCATCTTCCCAGTCACCAATAAAGTGAAACAACCTAAGTGTCTGTCAGCAGATGAGTGATCCCCACCCTGAAATATTCAGTCCTACAAAAGAAGGAAATTCTGCCATTTGGGATAACATAAATGAGCACGGAGGCCATTATGTTAAGTGAAGTAAGCCAGGCAGAGCAAGACAGATACTGCATTATCCCACTTATATGTGGAATCTAAAAATACACCAGAGTTATTACAAGCAGCGTAGATGGTGGTCACCAGAGGGGAGATGTGTGGTAGGAGGGAGGTGTTGGTCGAAAGGAACAGTTTCAGTTACACAGAATGAGAAGTTCTACAGGTGTAACACACAGCATGTCGGCTACAGATAATCGTTCTTTATGTGCTGTGTACTTGGACTCACCACGCCAGGAAATGGTAACCTCACACTTAACCTTTAAGATAGCCAAGGTCTCCTAATAATGTCCTTCAGGACTTTGCTCTCCTTTACTCCCAAATTCAGACCAAGATCAAGTGTATGTTTAGTTGCCAGCCCTCTTTACTCTGGAACATTTTTACAGTTTTTTTTTTTTCCCCTCTATGACCTTGAAAATTTAATGAATGCAGTCTTCTGCCCCTTTAAAAACAGAGCATTTTTCTCTCTTAGCCTGTAGGCTGTTTTTCCAGGGTTAAACTCAGGGCCTCAGGCTCACTAGGCAGGCGCTGTACCGCTTGAGCCTTGGAGTGAATTCTCACCATTAGCAGTATTACCTACCTGAGAAGACATGCAGTCAGTAATAGAGAGGAGGTGCTGCTGGCTTCTGGGGGTGGCTGTTTACATCACTGCCCTCTTTTCTCCTTCTTTCATATTTTCATTCCTCAAGATCTAGGCTGCTTCTTCCCTGGTGTCTTCCACCATAATCTTCAGCATAAGCAGTCTAGACAGCCAGCAACGGTGGTCATCATGACCACCAGTAGAGAGGCCCAACCAGAACGGAGGCCGGTAGGAAGGCAATGAACAGCTGCCTGAGTCTTGGGCCTTCAGGGTGGCCTGTTGATCCTGAGAAGTGAGGTCAACTAGACTTGCATGTGGGCTTTTAATAGTTGTTGCTCAGAAAAGAGCTGGGCTGATAAACCTACAGGCCCTGGGACCTGAGGAACTGGGTAATGTGGATGGCAGGGTGGAGTGAAAGCAGCAGTGCTGGGCTTTGGCTCTGTGGGAAGTTAGCGAGCGAGCACCTCTCACAAGGAGCATGGTGGCTTTGGTCCAGGGCAGTGATGCTTGGTAGTCTCACAAAGAGCTCTGTCACACTTTGCATGCCACCTTCCTCTGAGAAGGGTGGGTGTGAGGCTTGCTGTCCTCCTGAGGCTCTCGTGCTCCTCAGCCATTTCCTTGACACACCAGTTTATAGTAGCTGACGTTGAATGCTGCTTTTTCTTGGCGCATGAGCTTAGGGCTTCACACTTTCTAGCAGACACTATGTTACTTGAGCCACAGCCCCAGACCTTTTTGCTTTATTTTCAGATAGGGTCTCACCTGATCTTATTTAATGTAGTGTGGCTGGGATTACAACTGCTTACCACTGTGCTCAGCTTATTTGTTGAGATGGGGTCTCCCCAAACTTCTTTGCCTGAACTGGCCTCAAATCAATCCTGCTGAGTAGCTGGGGTTACAGGCATGAGCCATTGCACCTGGCTGGTGGATATTGAATTCTTATCAACTGGATTGATTTCTGAAATCAGAATTTGGTGTTGGCCTAGCCTAGAAAGACAAATTTCTGGTTGGATTAGATACAACATCTTAAATCAGTTTGACATGTCAGAGTCAAAACTTTTGGTTTTCTAGGAACAAAGAGCTGGATTCGCTTTCTAGTTTGATGAGCGGGAGCAATGAACACTCCAAGCAGTGGACGGGAGAAAATTCCCACCTCAGGGACATGTAAATTCTGCTGCAGTCAGGAAGGCCAGTGACAGACTTTCACAGTCAAAAATGTGGACTCTGTTCTGGTTAGGGATTTGAAAAAGACTCAGTTTTTATTTTGCCATTTTATATAATGAAATTTATTGGTGGAAAAAACTGTGAAATACAGAGGTGTGCTTAGACAGCATAAGAAAAGTTTAATTTTCGAATGGCATGCTTTGTTTTAATTTATCTAGGATATGTATAATTTTAAAGTTTTATGTCTAAATATTTGCGTAGTTGTGATAGATTGTCAGTTGAGTAAAACACTTTCTGTCTTGATGGCCTTTTGATAAATAACATAATTAGCTCAGTTGTTTCAGTCTTTCATAAGTCTAGATGTGGTGCTAAGTGCTTCCTATGTGTTGGTCATAATTCTGTCTATTATAAAATCATAGAATTTGCAAAGAATATATTTATGTATTTACATACTTCATATACATGGATGTTTAACACGGCATCAAACTATACATATTTTTATGGACACTGTTAGCAAATATGGCTAGGTATTATAGTCCTAATGGGTTTAGAGTATTCCATTATTTAGCTAATTAATAGATTTTAGTGTTACTTCTTCTCATTTTTAGTACTAATGCAGCAACCTGGATTCATGTGCATATATCTGTGTGCAGTTGTCGGGTTCTTTTAGAGAAGTATCTAGATGTAGAAACTGCTGGGTTAAGTATAGAATGCGTGACTTTTAAAACTATCCTCTTAGATCAAGAGAAAGCTGAAACAACTGCAGGACGAGTTTGAAAAGACCCCTTGGAGTGATACCCTGATGTTTCTCTTATTTCTGAGCTTTCTTTTGTTTTAACCCCGCATGGTTGTGTAATGGTATTCTTTTTCCCTTTTGTAGTAAGCTGTGCTAGAACAAAAATGCAATGAAAGAAACACTGGATGAATGAAAAGCCCTGCTTTGCAACCCCTCAGCATGGCAGGCCTGCAGCTCATGACCCCTGCTTCCTCACCAATGGGTCCTTTCTTTGGACTGCCATGGCAACAAGAAGCAATTCATGATAACATTTATACGCCAAGAAAATATCAGGTACTAATGAAAACACTAATACTGGAGCATTTTTCACTAAAACAGAATAAAGTAGCATATAGTTGACACAACTTATAAAACCCATTTTCCCTTTCAAGCCTGCCTTTTCTGATTAATTTTCTCATTCAAAACACTTTTGTTCATAATTGTCCTTTTCTTTTCTAACGTCTGTTGGGTAATTGATCTGTTAGTTTTATGTGGAAGTTCCTTATGTTTTTCCCCTGTGTCACCTTACTGTTCCTTAATATCCATTTGGGTGTGTCTGTCCTAATGAGCTGGGTAGGAACTAGATGGATTTGAAAAATACTCAACCATGAACTGGTGTGACCACATAAGAGTAAAGTAGCCATTCACATTACTCAGAGGAGTGGCCTGTGCAAAAGTAATTCTCCAGTGAGGAACTTGTGAACACCATTTCAACAGATGTTTACAGCACAGCTGCTCACAGCAGGGATTCCATTCCTCTCATTGTTATCTTGAATAAAGGTATAGATGGGTGGTTTTTTGTTTGTTTGTTTGTTTGTTTGGCAAAGGCATTAGCTAAAGATTTTAGAAAAGAGTAAAATTTCCTGATTTAAAACAAAAACCAATTTCCTGAATTTTGTAGTTAGATAAGAAGTGTATAATCTCTTTTTCCACCATATTTCTAGGTCGAACTGCTTGAAGCAGCTCTGGATCATAATACCATCGTCTGTTTAAACACTGGCTCAGGGAAGACATTCATTGCAGTACTACTCACTAAAGAGCTGTCCTATCAGATCAGGGGAGACTTCAGCCGAAATGGAAAAAGGACCGTGTTTTTGGTCAACTCTGGTAATAAAAAATTATTTTATCACATTGTGTGTAGGCAATTGGATGAGACTTTACATTTGAGCATATACTAAATTCAGGTATCGTTAAGTGAAGAGAGCCTGACAGATAATGGGCTCATTGAAGCCGTTAGCAGAAATGTCATTTTATTTCTTTATACTATTTCTTTCACTTGTTCTGATTTTGCTTTTCTCTTGAATGAATTACTTTGAGAAGATAATCTGAGTTGTTCCAGTTATTTTTGTTCTTGATGTTTTAGCTTCACAGAATACTCAAAAGGTGCTTGATTATGAGATAGATACTTTTGGATTTCTGATTTGCTATACCAGTGTTAGAAAGGAAGTTACATGCTTCTTAAAGGTTAGATATTCAATGTGAGTTTAAAATACTGATTTTTATATTTTTGGGATTATATGTCAAACTAAAAAATATAAACTATGAACCCAAACTGCTATCCTAATATAGCATGCCACTCCTCCCCCTTCTCTTAACAATTGTCTCAGCATAACTGCTTGAAATAATATGGGACTGTCTTATTTTCTGCTGAAATGATGTGGTTTTATTGAAGACAGCAGGTGGGGGGATTTGGAGCAGGTGCCATCTGACCTGGAAGGGATAGTCTAAGGTTGGAGGAATTCATCTGTAAAGAGGGAAGACAGTGAAAGTTCTCTGGAGTCCTTGACAGAGGCCAGGTGGTGAGCCCTAAGTACATTTTGGAGGATGACCTTGGAACCGTGATTCTTAAATTGGCTGTTTAAAAGACTGGTGGTTAGGTATAATAATAATGAAGAGGTCCGTAACTATCTTAATAACTATTTAGCCCAGAACGTCAGTGAGGCAGGATTTCTCATATTTACATGGAGTATTTTATTTGTAATCAGCAAACCAGGTTGCTCAACAAGTGTCAGCTGTAAGAACTCATTCTGATCTCAAGGTTGGGGAATATTCAAATCCAGAAGTAAATGCATCTTGGACGAAAGAGAGATGGAACCAAGAGTTTACTAAGCACCAGGTAAGACTTGTAGAGAAGCTGCATTTTATAAATCCTGTAAGTCCTTGACTTGGTTTATAAAATGATATGTAGCTTTGATTATCTCATTTAGGTTTGAAGACTCTTACTTTCCTGCTCTTTCTCAGCCTAGAAACTAGCTCTTATGCACTCTCTCTCTCTTATTGTAAGACTCATCTGAAAGCCAAGTAAATTAGTCTGTAGAAAAGAAACAGCTTTCATTATTACTCGCCCACAAATTTGCCGGGCATGATGAGACATGTCTGTAATTCCAGCACTTGGGAGGCAGAGGCAGGAGGATCATGAGTTCAGGCCATCCTGAGCTATCTATACCTAGTGATACCTTTTCTCAAAAAAAAAAAAAAGAAAAAGGAAAACACAAATTTTTATGACCTATTTCCAACTTGCTGATACTGCTTTCCGAAAAAGTACTCTTAGTTAAGTGTATTGAAGGTGGAGAAGTCTCTTGGTTGAGGTCTTTGCTTGGAGAGAGGCTCCCTCTGACTTCCATGATTCTGTGTAGTCAGTGTGTACTGAGGGCCTTTTGTGTGTGGTGCTGGGAGACACAAAGTGGTGAAGAGCCATTTCTTATAACTTTCAACAGCCCGTGGTCTACTACCATTTCTCACATACTGGGATAAATCCTCATAAATGAAGCCCTTAAATGTCCCCAGAATGATAGTCTCTGAGAAGAACATTTAGTCTTCTAGAAAATCTTATCAATTCAATAGGGAAAACATTAAAAACAGTGGGAGTTGTTTTATGATTTGACTAAGTTTACAGGTCCCATCAGTCAAAATAGGTCTATGGGAACCTAAAAACCTGAAATAGATTTATCATAAAGGCATGTCTCCCTTATCAAGAACCTTTTCTCATGTTTTCCTAATTTACTCCTTGGTTCCAATTCGTAAAATTCTGTAGATGTGAAATCTCTCTTCTAATTTTGACTGGTCAGGTTCTTCTCACTTTCTGTATGACGGCTCCGTGATCTGATCTCATGTGCATGCATCTACACAGGTGAATGGCATGTTTGTGTACTGATGTCAGTTTTATTTTAGGTTCTCATTATGACTTGCTATGTCGCCTTGAATGTTTTGAAAAATGGTTACTTATCACTGTCAGACATTAACCTTTTGGTGTTTGATGAGTGTCATCTTGCAATTCTAGACCACCCCTACAGAGAAATTATGAAGGTAGGTTTTTAGACTTTATCAGTTTTAATAATTCATGGTCAAATTGGTGAATATGTGCAGGGTGTTTTTAAGATATGGAAAGCAATATTTGTTACCAATATTGGGAACAATATTGTATGAGTGAGTGAATATTAAAATTCATGTTCATTTAATTCTACAATATTTTAAAATATCATAACAGAAATTAATTTTGTATAATAATCTTTCATAGGTGATCTAAATGTGCCCATTCGAAATACAGGTCTTTTAAACAAACTTCACTTTATTCAGTTCCATGATATCATGCTATCCTTGCTGTATTGATGTTTCCACTGAACAAATTGTTTTTTAGTATTTGTCAGTGATTTTGATATGTTTTAATACAGTAGTGTCTCTAGTTAATGGCCTTCAAAATGAAGTCTTTACTGTCAGTATCTTTTATTATGTTAGCTCTGTGAAAATTGTCCATCATGTCCTCGCATTTTGGGACTAACTGCATCCATTTTAAATGGGAAATGTGATCCAGAGGAATTGGAAGAAAAGATTCAGAAACTGGAGAAAATTCTTAAGAGTAATGCTGAAACTGCAACTGACCTGGTGGTCTTAGACAGGTATGCGCTTCTGGTTGGCTTGGCTTTAATAAGGCTAGTTGGAACCAATATTACACCTTCAGTACCTTTTGTAGTGCCCTGCAGATAGTGCTTGCTGAAGAAAACAAATGTCACTGAAATGAGCAAGCCTGAGAGTTCTTTATAAGTACAGTTACCCGGAAGTGCAAAAATCTAGCAGATGGAAGCTTTTCTGTTTCGAGCAACTTTGTTTCTGTCAGTCCTTCCATTTGCTGATGTTGCCAGAGACTGGAGACTTTAATAGTACTTTAGCATTTTTTTCTGTGAATGTGTGTGCTTTGTTTTTCTGATCTAGATGTCTCACACAGTCTTTGAAAGAACATTAATTTACTTACAGAATTCAGCAGTGGACTTTAAAATATTAGGAAACATCTATTGTTTTGAAAATAGGTTGTAGATTTCTGAGAAAAGGGCTCCTTATGATTTGTGTAAGTTGGTGAAAGGGAGTCTATGTAAATTAGGAAAGTGGGTTTTAAGTAAATGTAACTAATTCAGCTCATCTTCAGATAGTCATGTCCTTATTAGAGTGATCTTGAACAAGGCTGTGGTGGTTCTTAGGACAGTTGTAGTTAGTAGTGAAGACTGGAGTTGAGTCAAACATGGGTCTGATTACTCGCTCCACTAATTATAAGCTGTGTGACCTTGGGTGAGTCACTTCCCTGAACTTACAAAATGGCACTGAGAGTAGTTTCATGGGATTCTTTGATACCAGGTACAAGAACACATGGAAAGCACTGTGCATTGTTCCTGGCATTTAGTAGGGTTCTAGGGGGATTATCTTTGTAGAGTGAGAAGAGGCAACATTTTAGAGTCATACAGTTTAGATATGCAAATGCCATGTGAGATACAGATCTTACAACCGGTAGGATATGCTGTTTTTTGACTTCTGAGAGCCTGTACCAGTTAGGATGTACACATACATGCTGTGTATGTTTTTAAAAGCCTGATATTTGCATTTATCTAACCTGAGTTTGTTTCCTTGGCTCGTACTAATGAAGCTTTTGGAGAAGTAGAGCTATTAGAGAATTTAAGCAATACCTGTGAAATGATCTATTGGATTAAGTATTACCTAATTCTCTAAATGTGCCTCTCTCAAGTGTGAATTCTGATTGTTAAAAGTAAAAACTATAGTATTAACTGTCTTTCTTTAGTTAAAATCCTCAATGTACTTTTAAGATATTAATGTTCCATTCCTCTTGTTATATTTTATGAGAGGCATTCCAAGGAATAACATGAGAAACAAATGAAAAGTTGGGATTGTTTTCCTTACAATGATACATTAAAAATAAAGCTGATATTTGCAGGTGTTAAAACTTCAGGTAGTATGGAAAAGGACAGATTTTATGATAAAACTTTTCCCTGTGACTCCCTGCCCTCCCATCCTATTTCGGCTTCTGAAAAGTAATTATTGAATTTCATGAGTATTTTGAAGATTTATTCCTTATTCTGGCTGAAGCCTAAGGGAGCAAAAGATGGAAGTGTAAACCTAAAAACAAACCAGAAAAACCTGAGATAGTAATGAAATCTGTCCACACAATTCTTGGAATATCAACCTTATGCATTATTCTTTGCAACCTAACTGGCAGACATGGTGCAGATAAGAGCCAGTTCCATGCAAGGATGCCATACAGTGAGTCTGCCTTTTGGCCCAAGTGAGGACATAAACTGAAACTAGTTAGATATGCAAATGGGTCAGAATGTTGTAATGAACTTTTTTTATTTTGGAAGTACTGGGGTTTGAACTGAAGGCTCATGCTTGCTATGCAAGTGCTCTGTCTCTTGAGCCACACCCTTTTAGTTTGTTTTTCTGATAAGGGTCTCATGCTTTCGCCCAGGCTGGCCTTGGACCGTGGTCCACCTTCCTCCATTTCCCAGGTAGCTTTGATTACAGGCATGGGCCACCACATCCAATTGTAAACTTTCAAAAATGAAGCAAAGGGTGTTTGGGGAGATAGTGGGGTATAGCTGAACAACCCTTAAGAGGAAGGCAGTCCTAAATTTTGTTGACGGAATCACTTAATGTCTTTAGGCTCTTGTTTCCTTCCTAATCCTCCATATATGAGGATTAAGTTGGAAGACGCCACATAAGGTCCCCAGCATAATAGTTTCATTGGAGAGAAGCCCAGTTTGTATTCCCTTCTTTATGTTCTTCTCCTCTTCCTTTAGAAAATATCTTATAAATAATACATCACTGGTTTGCAAAAATATCACACATTTTTTTGGGGGAGAAGTTCAGTAATACAAAAAGTAAAAAAAAAAAAAAAAAAAAACCTAAAATCCACCCCACTGCTAACATTTTGGAATTATCTTAGTACCTATTCTCTTCTCCATGTTTTTTTAAAAACAGTTTTTAAATACTTCACCATTCTGATAATTGACTTTTGTTTCTGATCTTAAAGATACACTTCTCAGCCATGTGAGATTGTGGTAGATTGTGGACCATTTACTGATAGAAGTGGGCTTTATGAAAGACTGCTCAAGGAGTTAGAAGAAGCACTTGATTTTATCAATGACTGTAATATATCTGTACATTCAAAAGAAAGAGATTCTACTTTAATTTCTAAACAGGTAAGCATGTACTAAGTAGAGTAAGTATAGTAAAACTTCTGTTTATTTTTAATATTGAAATGAAAATATGCTTCTGATGAGGCCATTTTCTATACATTTTAGTTTAAGGTCTTCTTATCGCCTTGGACATTTTTCATTAAACAAGTCACATTAGATTGAAGGTTGGTTTTAGCTGACAGATACTTGTAGACCTAGAGATACATGTATCTCCCTGTAGGACTTAAGTCCATCAGTTAGGGTTCATGTAATGGTTATGAAAGTATAAGCAGGGAGTCCAATGTTTTTTGTTTTCTTTTTGATCAGGAGAGTTAGTTCCTGCTCCAACACTTGGACTAAATGAGTTCTTAGCTGTTTCCTGGTGTGTGTAACTGGATGTGAGCCTGTTATCCTTGAGTGTTACAGCTTCAGAAGAGAGTCTTTAGGGCAGTGGTCCTATATTGGCCCCACACCTGCAGGAGCAGTGTCCTGCCCCCCATCTTGTTAGAAATGCAAATTATAGGATCCATACTAGACCTGCTGAGCCAGAAATTCTGGGGTAGAAGTCCCAGAATTGAGTTTAGGGTTTTGACCAGCCTTCCAGTGATTATGGTGACATTCATCAAAGCTTGAGAACCTCCACCCTAGGAGTGGGCAAGCATTTTTTGCATTCAAGCAGGTCCTAATTTCTCTTCTGTGGATTGTTTTTTAGAGCAGCAGCAACGCCCAGATTTTTTTCACCCTATAAATTCTTACTAACTCCATATTCACCACACTGTGTCCTCTGCCAGCCTGCAGACTGGCAGTTCTCCCAGGATAGCCTGCGTGTGAGTTTTCAGTTGTAAGGTAGAGAGCTGTGCAGTGAATGATCTGCAAGATCAGAATGTGGATTTAGCTGAGACTTTTAAAGATGAGGAGCCCTACCCTCTTGGTAGCATTTTCAAGTGATGCCAGAGGACAGTTTCCAGTGGATTTAGAATAGTCTAACCTTAGCAATGAGAAGTCCTGGAAGAAGACCCACCAGAATTCACCCACAGTTCCTATTATCTTTTTTAAAGACTTACTGTAATGGAATATATATAAGACCAGGAAATGTTGTATACAGAGCTCAAGGAAAATTGTTTTGCTCTTTCTTGAAGAGCAAAAATTTCTAAAGTAAACTTGTCCCACTACATAGTTCTTTGCATAATTTGGCAGGAAGTAAATAACTCAGTTGTGGTACTGACTAATTACAGATCTAAAAATCAAGATTTGTTAAGATTTATTAACCTTATACAGTTGCATCTTTCAATTTCTATTTTCTTATTTCTGATGGAAAAATAGATGGTTTTAGGCATAGGTCCATGAAGTAGCAGAGGTTGAGAAAAACCAATGGCCCCTCCCCTGACATTAGGGCATTGACCTCAGTGGTTATATTAGTGGAATAAGTTGATTTTGAAGGGAAGTTTGAAGACAACCATGTCCCAGCTAGATCATGTGAAAGTACTGCATGATTATTATCTAGCATTTGGCCTTTTTCTCCCCTTTTTTCATAGATATTATCAGACTGTCGTGCAGTACTGGTAGTTTTGGGACCCTGGTGTGCAGATAAAGTAGCTGGAATGATGGTAAGAGAACTTCAGAAGTATATCAAGCATGAACAAGAGGAGCTGCACAGGAAGTTTTTATTGTTTACAGACACTTTCCTAAGGAAAATACATGCACTATGTGAAGAGCACTTCTCACCTGCCTCACTTGACTTGAAATTCGTCACTCCTAAAGTAATAAAACTGCTTGAAATCTTGCGCAAATATAAACCATATGAGCGACAGCAGTTTGAAAGTGTTGAATGGTATAATAATAGGAATCAGGATAATTATGTTTCTTGGAGTGATTCTGAGGATGATGATGAGGATGAAGAAGTTGAAGAAAAAGAAAAGCCAGAGACAAATTTCCCTTCTCCATTTACCAACATTTTATGTGGAATTATTTTTGTGGAAAGAAGATACACAGCAGTTGTCCTCAACAGGTAAATCTCTCAGGTTAGAGTCCTTTTCCATACAGAGCAACACACTTTTGTGTCATGAAGCAGTAAGCTACAATGGCTTGAAAAGCCAGCAAAAGGGTATGTGAGTGTCCTGTACTTGGTCCTGCATTCATGTGTAGCACTTACTGAAATGACAGAGAGGTATTTACAAGAGTCACTTTCCCTAAAGGCTGATTTTGACAAGACTGAGATTTTTGTGTAAAAGGATACTAATCCATTTAAATTCATCTAAAATAGAGAGTAATGTAGAAAAATTAAGTTACAGTAAATAAAGCATTCCTGTTTTGTATTCACTTGTTAGAGTCAGCTCAGATAGTTATTGTCATCTAACTATAGGTGAGGCAATGTGTTCAGCAGTTTACACAAAGCTTTCTCCTTCAGGTAATCTTAGGATAAATTTTACCTGTGGCTAATTTTTTGTTGATTTCTTTCTTAAATGTGATATTGTGAAATACCTATTTGATTTTATTCTTGTTTCCTAGCATGCAACTCCTAAAATCTTTAGAATCTTCAAAGTGCTAAATGTCTTGCATGTTAATAAGTTGGTTTATAGCTGGTAACCCCTCTGTAGCTTCAGGATGGGGCTGGTCACTGGAAGGAGCAAGGCAGGATTACAGAGTTGGAACTTTCAGCTTCTTCTACCTCCTGGGAGGGGAGAAGAGTTGAAGGCAAGGTGATCACCAGTGGCCAGTGATTTAATCAGTCATGCCTAAGTAAGGAAGCCTCCATTAAAAACCCAAAGGACAGGATTAGGCAAGTTTCCTGATAACACATGAAGGTTCTAGGAGGGTGGCTGCCTTGAGAGGGCATAGAAGGTCTGTACTCCTTTTCTGTAAGAAGCCCGTAGACATAAATATTGCTGGGTCCCAGAAGCCGCTCTTGCAAATCAATAAAACCTGAAGAGGAGGTGGTGGGAAGTACGATTTCATTTGGGACTTGTGATTCTCATCCGATCTAGCGATTGATCAGTCCTGGGGATCTGATGATATCTCCAGGTAGTGTCAGAGTAAGTCAAACTACAGGACACCCAGCTGGTGTCTGCTCCTACAAAGTGATTTGATTGCTTGCTGCAGGAAAGTCCCCATACCTTTTGACGTCACAGAAGTCTCCTGTGTTGATTGTTGGGTAAGAGCAAAGGACTTTTCCTGGCAGGCTTAGCTTATATTGATTCAAGTTTTCAGGGCCGCACTGGAAAAACTTTAGAACAACTGGACTTGAAATTTGGACTGGTTTATAAACTATCTACTAACATTTCTGAATAGAAAGTGAGTAGGAATATTAGGTAGAGTTCTGAGAATATTGGCAAAGGCGACAGTGAGTCCTTATGTTAGGTTGTAAGGTTCCAGCCTTTGCCTCTTCTTCGATAAAGGTTTATTTTTCCTGAATAAAAACTCAGCCATAAAGTTATACTTTAAATTCATGTTCACTGATCATTTAATGTATGGTTCTTTTGGTTTGTGGGTGGATTTTCTATTACTTTCTGTCCAGAAAGGGTCCTTATTTTGTACTTAAGACAATGTACTTTTCACTGAGATCCAGTAATTGGCCAAAGTTGATCCCTGAGAGCCTTTTCTGCAAGTAGTGATCTCTAAGGAAAAATTAAGCTTTGTTTCCTGAGGTAACTTGGGATTTTTTTTTTTTTTTTTCTTAACTGCTTCTGAATGTTTAGGAGTTTTAAAATTTTTGAGTAAGGGGAAATTGGACTCGAGGGTAGTCATCTGGTGATTTTCAGTCTGGTAATTTTCATAGTCATTGAGCCTGAACCTTCTGATGAATGCGAAGTAAAATAACTTCAGGTACTGAATTACCTTTAAATCAGACATTTAAGGTTGGAAAGCAACCTCACTGACTAATCCAAGCCACTTATTTTTATAAAAAAGAGAAAGTGCCTCCGGAGGAAAAGTGATTTGCTCTAAGTTAAATTGTTAGTCAGTGGCAGAGACAATTGTAGAATCCTAATATCCTGACTCCTAGTCTCCATTTCTTTCTACAACCATGACGCTCCTCGGCATCACAGAACACTGGAGACCAGTGCTGTACAGTGGGAAGACGGCCAGAAAGCACATGACTGATGAGGGGTTATTTCTTAGAATGGGAAAGGTATTTCAGGGGTCAGAAGAGTTCAGTACTGGCACAGTTCTAAGCCTAGTTATGAATATACTCCCTGCCTCCTTATAGGATGGTATAAGGATTAGGATTTTCTGGGGCATGGAGAGAAGAATGGGAATTAATTTTCTTTCTTTCCCCCATTTTCTGAGAGCTTTTTTTTTTTCTTTTTTCCCTCCATGCTGGGGATTGATCTCCATGCATTCTTATGTAGAGATGTGTGCAGGAGGGTTTATCTAAAATCAATTGGTTGTTTCCTATTGACTAAGGATCAGATGAATTGTGGTCAGCTTTCATAGAATGTGTCTGGAATTTAGTGTTACAGGATGAATCAAGAGCAGTCTGAGGGTTGACTTTATGGGCAGCTAATGAAATGTACAATAGAAGTCTTGTTCCAGTAAGCTTTTTAATAAGCTTAGAAAAACTTCCTGAAATCCAGATTCTTTACCTTCCATCAGTCTAGTGGGAAGAAAACCCCCCTTAGTGCAGTTTCATGGGAGTATAAGCTCTTGCAGTACACACGCTGTTTCTACTCTCCTGTTTGAAGCCATCGGTCACACAGCTCCGTCTGTGTGTAGTGTAAGGTATGTTCTCAGTCTCCTGTTTACAGTTTTTCTTTTACCTTATATAGGGATTTATAGGTGACTGTTAGGTATATTTAAAATATGTTCATGACATATCACAGATGAAGAAGCCAAGACTCATTTTGTGACCCTGTGAGAATTGCAGATGATCAAGTGTCAGAAAATGGCTCCCAGGCACCAAGTTTAGTCTTCTTTTCATGTGATTTACTAATTCTGTGTAATAGTGGTGTTGTACAAACCTGAGTTCATATCCTGTCTCTATCCTTCTGCCTTTTTTCCCCGTAATACCTTTTTATACTGGTCTAACTTTAGATTTAGGGAAAAATTAGAAAGATACTACAGATTGTTCCTGTACTTCCTCCCCTAGTTTCTCCACTGTTAACATCCCGTTAACATTTGTCACAACTAAGAAACTACACTGGTGTATTACTGTGCACTGCACTCCAGAACTTATTTTGCTTTTGCTATATTTTCCATCCTGTCCTCTGGTGGTTTTGTTGTTGTTGAGACAGGGTTTCATTTTGTAGCCCAATCTGGCCTGGAACTCATGATCCTCCTACCTCAGCCTCCCATTTGCTGGGATTACCACGCCCCTCTCTATCGTGTCCTCTGTTTGTTCCTTGCCCTCTTTTTAACTCATGGGATCATGGCACATCATTGTATCTCTCAGCATCTCTGGTCTGGTGGTAGTTTCTGTCTCTCCTTGTTTTTGACAACTTGGCAGGCTTGAGTACTGGCCAAACATTTCATAGATGGCCCCTCCATTTGGGTTGGCTGAATTTTGTCTCAGGAATAGGCTTCTTGTCACATCTTAGCAAGGGGCTCATGGTATCAACATAAAATACCATTGGTGATGTTTAACTTCATCATTCAGTTACGATAGCATATACCAGTCTTCTCGACTGTAAAGCCTTCTCTTCCTTCTCTTTATGCTTTGGAAGTGAGTCTCCAAGTATAGACCATGGTGGGGATTAATTTCTACATCCTAGAGGAGTGTGTCATTTACACATACTGCTTGGAATTCTGAAAGGGAAACTTGTCTCTCTCATGCTATTTATTTACTTTTCTATGTATGTGTATTTGGTCATGTATTTTTATCAGAATGAACCTGTGTTTATTTTAAACTTTGGGTTATAATCCAGTAGCACAGTATTTTGTTGCTCCAGCCTGGCCAGAGCTGTTTGAGGTTAGCTTTCTTGTCCTTTCATACACCCTCACCCTTTGTTTTTTTTTTTTTTTTTTTTGAGTACTTCATTGTTTGGTAACATGATTCTTTATTATCCCTTTTACTATAATAGGTTGCTTTTATATATGTATGTATTTTATTTTTTTACGTGAAATTATAAGACTCTTGGATTTTTTCCCTGCCCCAGCCATAATTAGCTATTTTGTCAAGAAGCCCCTGTCTCTTTTTAAGCCTCCCCCGTCTTTTTCTTTTTTAGCAGTACTGTGTTTGGACATAGGGCCTCAAGCTTGCTAGGCAGGCATTCTACCACTTGAGCCAATTTTCTGGATATATATTTTGTGAAAATTTTTAAATGTTATTTATCTGTTTACTTCTATTTATTTATTTGGTGGTCGTAGGGTTTGACCTCAGGGCCTTGTACACTTGCTAGACAAGCACTCTACCACTTGAGCCATGCCTCCAGTCCTTTTTGCTTTTAGCTATTTTTCAGATAGGGTCTGGCATTTTTGCCAGGTCTGGCCTGGGGCTGTGATCCTACTATCTGTGCCTCCTGTGTATCTGAGATTTCAGGCTTGTACCAACACATCAGCTTTTTTGTTAAGATAGGGTATTTCTGACTTTTTGCCCAGACCGATCTCAAACCACAGTTCTCTTGAGTAGCTGGAGTTGCAGGCATGAACTACTGTCCTCAGCCTTATTTAAGTTTTTAAAGCCTCAGCCTCTTCGTCTGTAAAATAGTAACACTCCCTACTCTCTTAACTGATTTGTTAATTAAAGACAATGTATATGAAAATGGTTGTTTTATCATCTAATAGTAGCTGCTAATCTTATGTTCTTTATGGACACATTTGGGGAGTGCAGTAACAGCATTGTCCTATAACTGATCATTTTGGGGGTATAAAATCATAAGAGAAATGGTATTTGGTTTTCTCACATTGACAGGAAAATATAAGAAGTGAGGAGTATTGTCAGGTCTTGTGGATAATGTACTCAAGTACATGGTAGAATTTTCAGCTGTGGTTCTATGTGGTTTTTTTCCATTTTGTGTCTATCTGCATTAATTGTCTTGTTTAGTCAAAAAACAGTTGTTAGTAATCTACTAGTTTTGTTTTACATTTTCCCTGTTTACGGTCATGCTGTCTCCTGTCCACTCGGGGAGGCATTGTGTGTACACATACAGCGTGGTCTTACTTTGCCTTGGGTTGCATGTAGAGGTCAAGAGTAAGCATGTACGCTCTTGTAAGCAGTGTGGCAATTATGTTGTGTCTGTCAAATATAATAAAATTGCTACTTGAGTGTCAGTGCTTTTTAAGTTTCTAAATAGTGGGTCTTTATGGAATTTTACAAAAATACTGGTCTGGTACATGGGAAATCTTTTTTAAAATTTGGTTCTTGGTTATAGATACTGTTTGAAGCACCAAGCGGCAGAGAACAGTAGTTTATGGAACAGCTTGCCTGTGGGGCAGTTCATGTAAACTCAGTTTAAGTATCAGAAGAGAAAAGACCTTCTCTGACCACACCACAATGTCCTCCCTGAGGATACCAGGCACTTGTATTTCTCCTGAACCTGTGGCTCTGTCTTGGGGACACGATCAGGCATCCTTTAAATTCATCCCATAGAGAACTTATTTTCCTGTCCAAATGTTATCACTATAGCTGTATAGCATTTAGTTATAATAATTAATCTTAATTAAATTCAATTAGTAATTAAATAGCATGTAATTATTGCTCTTTTATTCATGTATTGTCTCTTCAATTCTCTGCAGTTTTGATGTGCGTGTTGTTCAGGAGAAATAAATTAGTGTTTCTACTTCTTAGCTAATTGAAATGATCAGATTGCAAATTTTGGCAAAGTATATTTAATTTCAAGTAGCCTGAAATGCATTTAAGAACCTCTCTATTATGTTGAAGTTGATGCTTATTTATGTAAACTAAAATTTGGAAGTACACATTATTTCTGATACGATTGATTCAGATTTTTGGCTTTTGGGCATGTTTGTTTGCATGTACTTCTGCTCTCTGTTACTAACATCATACTGAACTGCAGAACAGACTGTCCAGCTAGTGTGGACACATAAGTGTTCTCTTGATTGAGGGCAGGAGGTACTCTAGATTGCCACTTTGTTCCTCCCAGATCTTTGATATTAGCCTGTTTCATGTACTTTTTTTTTTAAATAAAAGTGGTTTGACTTAAAAATGCAATTTTCCATTAGGAATTTATACTATGTAGTATGACTTCAGAGGAACCATATGGAATCACTTAGATCAGGTGTGGAACCATTTATCCTGTGTGCTGAGTTCTTGAATGTGGATATTTCCAAAATAGCTGTAATGGCAGCACTAACTGTTAACCTTCGGTCTCCATGTAATGTGATCTTGACCTGTAGCTCTTTTCCATGCCTCTGCCAGAAGGCCCGTTTTGAGTTTCTGGCATCCTTGGTTAATACCCAGGAGCAGGCAGGAAGAGGACGCCGCATCTTTCATGACAGAATAGGGTGGGAAGTTTGGGGTGCTGCTGTGCTGAAGTCCACTCCTCTGTTGTGTCAGTCTAATTAACAGCCTGGAAAGCAGAAAGTTTTGGAATGGAGACACTGAGGCACTTCGTTTCCAGAGCTCTGCTTATACCTCCTGATACAAGGTGTAGGGTAAAGTGAAAAGAAACAGCCGTTCTTTTGTCTCACACACAGCTGGACTGCTGTCCTACTTGTAGAGGGGCACGATGTGTTCCCTTTGGTATCAGGTTCGTCACTCTTTGCTCTGTGTCAGCACAGCCACGTAGGAGAGCGCGGTAGCTGCTGAAGCTTGGTGTGCAAGAGCTGCATCAAGCCGTTTTCCTTAACGTCAGACCTCAGAGCCCAGGTGTGTGAGGGTCTGTGCTTCTCTGACTTGTTCAGTCCCAACTAGACCACACTTGTGGTAGCCATCATCACCATATCAAACATTGGAGGCCATGGGACCATTTCATTTGTCAGCATAAGTAAGCTTTTTATCTGGCATTGGAAGTACTCGGTCCACAGATTGATGTGATGAAATGTGGCACTGATTTCTGCTGAAGCTAGATAGGAAAAAAATGCCTACTGCATTTTGTTGGGTATGCTGGCAAAAAACACTGTATATATATTCCTACCTGAAAGGAGACCTTAAAAACAAAAGTTGAAATATGTTTCCTTCAGCAGGGTTTAACTTCCAAATGTGCATAATTTTCTTAGATTGATAAAGGAAGCTGGCAAACAAGACCCAGAGCTGGCTTACATCAGCAGCAACTTCATAACTGGACATGGCATTGGGAAGAATCAGCCTCGTAACAAACAGATGGAAGCTGAGTTCAGGAAGCAGGAAGAGGTAACCTGCATCCAAATAACTGCATGATAGATAGTGGTGTTTAGAACATCTACTGACAAACTTTGCCTGCAGGAGCTCTCTTCAACTCCCTCTCTCCCTCCCTCCTTCCCTTCCTTTTTTTTGTAATATAGGATACTTGTTCATATAGACTAACTGTCTCATGAGGTGACTAGGGTTATTTATATGCTCATAAATCTGGTAAATCAATTTTGCATCTTAATTTCATTAAGCTGTTTATTTTCCTTTATTGAATTGGTGTCATACAACTATATCTCATAGAAAAATGAAGCATGGATAACCATAACTTCTGTAGACTCCAGATGGCCACAAAGCAAGAAGTAGAAATATTTTCCTAAAATATGTTTCTTTTCAAGTCCATTGTAAAAAAAAATAACACTATAGTTTATAGATTTATTTTATTTTGGTAGAACTGGGATTTGAACTCAGGGCCTTATGCTTGCTAGGCAGGCACTCTACTGTTTCAGCTTTGCCTTTAGCCTTTTTTGCTTTAGTTATTTTTTTCAGATAGGATCTTATATTTTTTGCCTGGGATCAGCCTCAGACCACTATCCTCCTGCCTATACCTCTTGAGTAGCTGGGATTACAGGCATGCATCATCATGCTTGGCCTTATTTTATAGAGTTTAGATTCAATTTTTTCATGCTTTTTAAGGTCTTATATAGGAAACAACATGATAAAGAAGTGCTCTGACTCGCAAACAAAACCTTTTATTTAAAGTTTGTTATTTAACTTAAAATTTGTAGAATAATTCCTACTAAAGGTATTTTCATCATAGCTTTTTGATAATATTCCAGGTTTGGAGAGTTCAGGAGCCAGTCTAATAGATCTGACTATGTGAAAACCAGCTTATGTTATTATTTCACTTATTCTATATTGGGGAGTAATGTGATTTAAAATTTCATGGGAAAAAACTTTCCATTTGTTTTAATCAATTCTGATTCCTTAAGTTGAAAATTTCCCAAGGTGCCAGGAAATAAGCAATGCTCTGTTTATAATTTTTAATTCCAGGTGCATCAGGGAACTTAGTAATAGAGTTTTGTCACCTTTGGAGGGATGTTGGTACAGTCTCATGCATATAAGGTATCATTATGAAGGGTGAGAATGTCACTAAGCCTCCAGGCTTGGACACTTGGTTGGATAGATGTATTTGTGATCATAAAGAAGACAGACCATTCAGCCTGACGGCTTCTGTGGCTTAAGGTGTGGGTGCTTCTGTAAAGTAGGAGGCACTTTGATTTCTTACTCACATTCAGTTGAGATCTCCTGTCATGAAATCAAAGTTTCTGGGTCCATGTGGCCATGCATTCGTGTCTCTTTAGATTGTCATCTTTAGTTTGACCTTAGAGCTATAGCCCAAGGTATATGTCAGAAATGAACATTGCTAGTAATTTTAATAATACTGTGTTCTTTGGAAAATTTCTTAGAATTGCTATTCTTGGTGGATATTTTTCAGGTACTTAGGAAATTTCGAGCACATGAGACCAACCTGCTTATTGCAACAAGTATTGTAGAAGAGGGGGTTGATATACCAAAATGCAACTTGGTGGTTCGTTTTGATTTGCCCACAGAGTACCGATCCTATGTTCAGTCTAAAGGAAGAGCAAGGGCACCAATCTCTAATTACATAATGTTAGCAGACACAGACAAAATGAAAAGTTTTGAAGAAGATCTTAAAACCTACAAAGCTATCGAGAAGGTAAGATCAAAAAGTTAATACGGTATCTTCATTATTCTCTGTGTGCTCAGAATTAGATAAAAGCAGTTTTATCCACAGAAGGTAGTCTCAACAAGGGTGTGCAGAGTGTGTATACATTATCAGGATGTTGAGTGATTCCAAAGACCTGGCAGTATTTTACAAAGTGTTTAGAATGTCTCAATAAAGTACCAGTAAGAAGGTCATATGGATGTTGGGGGAGGATTTCTGGGAAAGGGTACTGTAAGTGTAGACACTCGTGACTGTTGATTGGTTTGAGCTGTGGAGGGGGAGTGATGACATAGTGAGACTTGTGAGAGACTGACGGGGGGTGTGTGTGTGTGTATACTGTTCAGTGTAGACCTTATACTTTATGGTGAGTGTCTCCACATGATTGGAGCTGGAAGATTTTGTGGGAGCAGTTTTCTGTAGTAGGTGACTTTGGAGTTTTGAAAGTGTTTAGGAGAGATAGATATGACATGTAAATGAGCTTTTTTTTTTTCCTTTTTTGAGACCAGGTCTCACCATGTTACCCCAGGCCGGTCTTGAACTTGTGATCCTCCTGCCATCAGCCTCTTGAGGGCTGGGATTACAGGCATGTACCACAATGCCTGGCTAAAAGAACTTTTTCTATAAATACAGAGGCAGACAACTACCATATGGCAAAGAAGAGATTTGTTCTCATCCTAAGTTCTTTTTTATACTGTTCTGCTTTAAAATGTTCAGATTTTAAGAAACAAATGTTCCAAGTCAGTTGATACTGGTGAGTCTGACGTTGATGCTGTTGTGGATGATGATGATGTTTTCCCACCATATGTACTGCGGCCTGATGACGGGGGTCCACGAGTCACCATCAACACTGCCATTGGACACATCAACAGGTGAGGTATCAGATCATTTCATGGAACCTGTCAGTAGTGCGAGATGTGAGTCTCTAACTGTGACTTGTATTGCTGTCTGGATCTCAGAATCACCAGCCTTCCCATGTGCAGCTTGCAGTATTTTGATAAAAGAAAAGTTGTTTTCTCTCATTCATGCAAAAGTAAGCATTGTGCAGTAATAACATTCAGTACTTACTGACAAGGCTGACATGAAGGCGTACTTCTTTTATTTAGATTTAATTCTGTAATGCTGAATGACTTTTTCTAAATCTTAAAATGTTTGGTTTTATACTGTGAATTCTAGGTAATGTTAAATTTTCCATTAGCAATGAATTGAGATTATTATAAGTTAATTTGTATTTTTGAATATTTATATTTTTCCCGAGCTAAAAACTTTTCTAAGAAGTAAGGAAAGCAGGTACATATCTTGTTTATGTATCAGGATAAATTTCAGATGCAAACTGAAGGAGCAAGTATAAGATTTTCTTTAACTTTTTATCTTGAAACAATTTCAGACTTTAAAATGTTGCCAGAATACTAGAGAACTCCCATGCACCCTTCACTCAGAGACACCATTCAGGTTTCACAAGAGTGTTCTTTGTAGCCAAAGCATCCAGTCCAGAATTGTGGCTACACCATGCTGCCCCATCTCCCGAGTCTCGGGGAGCTATTCTTCAGCCTTTCCATGACTTTAATGACCTTGAAAGGTTTTGTTTTGTTATTTATCTATTCCCTCCCTTCCTTCCTTCTTTCCTTCCTTCCTTCCTTCCTCCCTCCCTCCCTTTCCTTTCTTTTCTCCCTCCCTTCCACTTTCTCTCTCTTTCCCTCTCCCTCCCCCCTTCCCCTCCCCCTCCCCCTTTCCCTCTCCTCCCTTCCCTTTCCCCCTTCCCCTCTCCTCCCTTCTCCCCTCTCCTCCCTTCTCCCCTCTCCTCCCTTCTCCCCTCTCCTCTCCTTTCCATTTTTTTTGAGACATAGTTTCACTGCACAGACCAAGCCTATCTTGAACTCACGATCCTCCTGCCTTTATTTTTGAGTGCTAGGATTTTAGGCATGTGCCACTATGCCTGGCTCAACCTTGAAACTTTTTTTTTTTTTTGGCTGTAGTGGGGTTTGAACTCAGGCCCTTGCACTTGCTAGGCAGGTGCTCTACCATTTGAGCCACTCCACCAGCCTTTTTTTGTGTTGGGTATTTTCAAGATAGGATCTCATGAACTATTTGCCTGGGTTGGGTTCGAACTGAGATCCTCCTGATCTTTGCCTCCTGAGTAGTTAGGATTATGGTGTGAACCACCAGTGTCCAGCTTATCCTTGAAATGTTTGATGATTGTAGACCAGCCATTTTGTAGTCTGCCTCTGAGTTTGAGTTTAAATGATAGTTTTTCATGATCAAACCCAGTTTATACATTTTTGTCCAGCCTGTGACTGAAATGATACTGTGTTCTGATCCCATCTTAACTGTAATTACTTATGCCCTTAAACACTTGGTGTAACACTGACCACTTGAGTAAGGCTTGCCAGTTTGCTGTATTATAAAGTCATCTTGTATTTATCCTATGGGGAGAGACTTTGAAATTACAGAAAATTTATTCCTTTTCCCAGATTGACCCATCATTGTAATATCTTTGGATAGTTCTTGCCTGAATTGTGGTTATTAAGATGGCTACTGATGGTTACTTTCTAATCTCATTACTCTTAGTTGCCATTCTTCTATAAGGGAGAGCTATTTATTCTCCCATGTAAATATTCTTTTATTACTGTTTCTTATCTCTGAATTTATGGATTCTATTTTATTTACTGGAGTATAATCTGTTGCTATAATTTTATTATTCTATGCTCTGTGTTATGTGGTTGCTGGTAAATGTAAAATTATTGAGAAATAGAAACATCTTCTCTTCACCTGTTCAGGTGTAATAAGGTGACACTGGACACTTACAGCTGTTTAAATTAAAGGTTCAATTGAAATTTTAAAAGCAAGATTAAAAATGTAATTTCCTGCACACATCAGTTTCAGTTGTTGTGTTCTATGTTATTGTACTAATCGAGTTTGGGGGAAGGGGGATGTAAGAAACCAAATTTTAGGTTGTGAGTATCAATACAAACTTTTCCATCTTTAGGATTTCTTTTTCTTCACAGATACTGTGCTAGATTACCAAGTGATCCATTTACTCATCTAGCTCCCAAATGTAGAACCCAAGAGCTGGATGATGGTACATTTCGCTCAACTCTTTATTTGCCGATTAACTCACCTCTTCGGGCCTCCATTGTTGTAAGTTTAGAAAAGTATTGATTGTGCATGTTACAGTATGTTATTGATGGAATTTTTCCTAGCTTCTCTAAGACTCACAAGTTATAAATCTGGTTTTAAAATCTACTTTGAAAAGTAGATTTATATCTTGTAGTCAGTTGCCTGTTCAGCTTTTTAACAGAGTACAATTTGCAGACTTTTCCAATTAGATTGATGACCTCTGAAGTTTTTCCTTCGAGGTCTTGTTAATGAGAACCTTTTTGGCAAAATCATTCAGCTGTGGCACAAAAATGTAGTTGAGTTGCCCTCGTCATGTTATTGAGGACTCAAAATTCTCTTTGTAATGTACTTTTTTTTACTTTTCTTTTTTTTTTTTTAACTGGATGTAGTCTTTCTTGGTCCCAACACCAATTTACAATTTACAGATATTCCAAGATGAGTAATTTCTTTTGCACATTCAAAGCTGCTCAGTACTAATTTATGTTATAGCTGTATAGCTTAATGCTATTTTTGTTGCAAATTTGTAGGTAAAAGAAAATAAAATGCTGTAAAATCATTTGAAATGTAAATTGGTCAAAATTATAAAATCTTAGTTATAACTTAGATTTTAATGGGCAGGGTTTTGTTTTTTTTTTTGACAGTACTGGGGTTTGAACTTACGGCTTCATTCTTGCTAGACAGGTGATTTTTAAAGATGAGTGTTTCGGCAGTGGGGATATAGGTCAGTGGGAGAGCACTTGCCCATCATGTATGAAGCCCTGGGTTTCCTTCCAACACTACCACTCCCCACCCCCACTTAAAGGTTATTTCAGATACGGAGATTAGGATTTTTTTTTTTTTTAAACTTGCATTTTTTTCAAAATTAAGATCTTTGCTTTGGTAAATAGAGCTTTAAAGATACTGGGGAGAGGTCCCGTAGGTGTTTCACATACTGTAGCTACAGACATATGCAATGCTAAGTTTTTTGTTATTTTCAGGGCCCACCAATGAGCTGTGTACGATTGGCTGAAAGAGTTGTAGCTCTCATTTGCTGTGAAAAACTGCACAAAATTGGTAAGCAAGTGTGTTTGAAAACATTGTAAATATAAATTAATTATAAACACTGTAAAAAAAAAGCATATGGAGGACTTCACAGGTTTCTAAGGGGTTTGTAGGCTGTGAACTTGTCTTCTTGATATACTCTGGTGCATTGAATTGTAAATACTGTATGACTCTGAAAGATCCTGCCCTATTGTGGGAGCTCTTTACTTTTTACAGCTTAACTGCTACTGCTGTTTATTTGCTTCCTTGACTCACCCTTTTAAATATATAACAGTCTTCCAGCAGCTGTGGGTCATGAATCATAAACAACTGTGTTGAATGCATTAGTTTCTCAGATTTGTCTCTTCTAGTGTAGAAAATTATCTTTTTTTTTTTTTTTCCCTAATGGGAAGACTTGTTTTCCATGGCATTTTTGTTTAGAAGGGATGTGTGCTGTTGTCCTCTTGAGGTGTTTTTGAGTCTAAGAACACAATTTGCAGCCCTGCTCATATGAAATATAAGAATGCCAAAATAGACTTTGCCTGAGGCTTCACATATGGTTACTAGAACATGACTAAAAGCAAAAGTGCTTCAGTTTTCATTACTTTTCCACTTGCTTCCTAACAATGCCATTCTAGAGCATTTACTAACTAATTGAGAGAGGAAAATCTGGGTTGTTTGCATTAATTCTCTTTTTACATTTCTTAGGTGAACTGGATGAACATTTGATGCCAGTTGGGAAAGAGACTGTTAAATATGAAGAAGAGCTTGATTTACATGATGAAGAAGAGACCAGTGTTCCAGGAAGACCAGGTTCCACAAAACGAAGACAGTGCTACCCAAAAGCAGTTAGTATTGGTTAGCAACTGAGTAAAAATCTAGCCTTTCTGACTTTTTATTTCCTGCTACAGCAAATCCTGATATGCTTCTCTGCTTGGATATTCTCCCAGATCCTTGTAATTTAGCCACTCTTTGGGTCTCATCCATTTTTCCAATCCATGACTTCTCGCAGAGCAGCCCTTTTACTTACACTTTAATTGTTGATATTTACTTACTTAGTTTTTTCAAAAGGATTCTTGAATTGATCTATCAGCTTCTACCTAGAATGGGTTTATTTCACTTAGAGAGACATTCTTTCATTCATTTTAGTGATGTGATTCTTACCTTACTTGCGCTAAGACAAGAGAGTTTGTATGGGAAAGTAGACAGGTGTAAAATATGCTCTCTCAAGATGATGGGCATGTAGAAGGTAGAGGCACAGTTAACTGCCAGAAGTTCAGAAGTGGATGATGAGGGTTGAAATGGGTTATTTCAGTGGAGTGGGTCTAGCCTGATCTGTGAAATCCAAGCAAGATTCACATATTAAACATTTCTGAATCTGACTTCCAGTTCCATTAATACTTGACTGAGGTGTTTATTTTAAAAATATTTCTTATGATTTTCAATTCAAAGAAATTCAAACAAAAATATGCACCCAGCTAAACATTTTCAGGATTATTGGAGTTTTTTTGTTTTGTCTTGTCTTATTTTGGGTCTCATGCTTAATAAGCAGACACTACCACTGAGCCACAGTCCTAAAATTAAAATTATAAATGTTGCCCATTTTCATAAAATGCTTTTTTCCTTCATATCCACTTTCCATGTTGGACTAGTTTCATCTGAAATGCCACTGATGATATGTTCTGAGGAGCACAGTGCTACCCTGCCTCTTGTTTAATCTGTTCTGTGTTACCTGATGCACTTCTGATCATAGCTGCCTCTCACCAGTGTTTCTGAACCTTTTAGCTACTAATGCAGTGATTTGTCATTGGGTCTCAGAAGCTGCAAAACCCTAATCTGTAGGGTCTATTATTGAGCGCTTAGAAACAGTGTGAGATCGTATGACTCACATAATGAGATAGCCAGCTCACTTAGTTGTAGTAATTGCGGATAAAGTTTATATCATTTCACACACAAACACACCCCAGTCTATGTTGTGTGATTCCATTTGTGTTGAAAATACGTGTATGTATTTACATACGTTGATATATAGAGAAAAGCATAAGAAATTGTGTAGTATATAAAATGTAAATGAAAGTTACCTTTGACATGTTTATATGTAATTTTAAAAAATTTGCCTACCTTTATTTTCTGATATGTTACAGTGTGCAAATAATTTAAAAGCCCAGGGAAGAAGAGAGTTTTCTAGTCAAAAGAAATAGTTCAAATGAATAGTATTTTTTTTAAAGACCCTACAGTGTTTGTTTGTTTGTTTTATACAATCTTGGCAGCTGTAGGTAAACTTGGGCCATGATGAGGCTCAGACCTGAGAAATGCTGACTTCCCAGCAGAGAGCAGAGTTAAGTAATAGGGAGGTCTCCTTTGCATTTTCTTATCAATATCTGGATTAGAGGCTATTTGTACTTGAGCATGATGCTTAATTTTCTTTCCAACTTTAGATTCCAGAGTGTTTGAGGGATAGTTATCCCAAACCTGATCAGCCCTGTTACCTGTATGTGATAGGAATGGTCTTAACTACTCCATTACCAGACGAACTCAATTTCAGAAGGCGGAAGCTCTATCCCCCTGAAGATACCACACGATGCTTTGGAATACTGACAGCCAAACCCATACCTCAGGTAGATCCTTCATATTGATTGTTGATGTGGGCAACATATTTTTTTGTTTTTAAGGAAAAGGAAAAAAGAAAACTAGTAGTAAGTGTCTTTGTTACCTCAGTGTGTTTACTATTTAAAGATTGAAGCATCTGTTCTATTCTGATAGCATCATTCTCTTCTACACATGATCTTAGCCAAAAGACAGAGACGTGATCATCATTCTCTTCTGAAGTTAACTGTATAGAATAAGGTCTGTGTTGACTGATGGTGCTTTATTGTTCTTTTTGCTTAGATTCCCCATTTTCCTGTGTACACACGCTCTGGAGAGGTTACCATATCCATTGAGTTGAAGAAATCTGGTTTCATGTTGTCTTTACAAATGCTTGAGTTAATTACAAGACTTCACCAGTATATATTCTCACATATTCTTCGGCTTGAAAAACCTGCACTAGAATTTAAACCTACAGAAGCTGATTCAGCATACTGTGTTCTACCTCTCAATGTTGGTAAGAGGGACCCAGACTTTAGAGTACTGATATTTACAGTAACCAAAAAAGTTAAGGTTTTGCTTATAATTAGCTTATCGTGTATATTATAAAAATCTTTTGTTTTGATAATACTTAATTAGATATATTAGTATATTCCTTAAGTGAGAGCCTGTACTATATTTTAATAAGCTAAAGAGTCTTTTTCTCCTCTAAGTTAATGACTCCAGCACTTTGGATATTGACTTTAAATTCATGGAAGATATTGAGAAATCTGAAGCTCGAATAGGCATTCCTAGTACAAAGTATTCAAAAGAAACACCTTTTGTTTTTAAATTAGAAGATTACCAAGATGCAGTTATCATTCCAAGGTAGGTATTTTAATGGGAAAGAAAATAGCAGTGATAATTTGTTTCAAAAGATTCCTTCATTCACATGGGACTGTAAGTGGGCTATGACTCTAGCACTAGTGGTACCAATAGAAAACAGGCATCTTTACTGTTGGGCCTATTTTCTCTGGCTTACTTACTTAAAAAACAAAACCCAGAACAGTGAAAGTGAAGGGATTTTACTTTGTGAAGGTCAGATTACAAAAATAATATTGATAGTCTTTCTTCTTAAAGTCTCCATCCCCAAAGTCTTATTATAGGATTTGATCATGAGTAATATATTTGCTTCTTAAAATTTCTGTAGGGAATAATGTTATTAAGCTCAATGAAGATAAACAGGGTACGTTTGTCTTTATAAAAAAAGCTTAGGGAATGGAGTTTTGAGGTAATAAAATTAAGTATAAGCGCTTTTCAGAGAATTAAAATTCTGTGGTTGAATTTTTCTTTGATTTTTCTGTTTTTAGATGTTAATTATCACTTGACTATCACGCTCATAGTGTAATACATTTTATGTGGCAAGTATCTTGTGTGTCATGTTAGTGTAATTTACAAAGTATTTACTCAGTTTGGATTTTCTAAGTTTTCTGTATTATTTGTATAGATGCAGTTGATATTGGAAGGTTCCGTTTAGCTTTCATATGTTGTCAAAGTGTAAATATTTAGGACAAGAATAATAAAATAGGGGAGAATGGAGTGTCACTTTTTACTTGATAAAGATACAGTTTTTATTGTCTCACATACACTTGAAATACATCTTTTGGAATTGGAATTTCATTAATGTTATTTACATTTAGCCTTTTGAATTTGATTGTAATTTGTGTTTTCATATTAAAACAATTGTGTTTTGAGAATAGTTGATTTAGATGAAAAAGTAACTCATTGATTTTCTTTTTTAGATATCGCAATTTTGATCAGCCTCATCGATTTTATGTAGCTGATGTGTATACTGATCTTACCCCTCTCAGTAAATTTCCTTCCCCTGAATATGAAACTTTTGCAGAATATTATAAAACAAAGTATAACCTTGACCTGACCAATCTCAACCAGCCACTGCTGGATGTGGACCACACATCTTCCAGGTAAGAGCTTCAGAAATAATATTTAGATTGCACTTGAGGCTTTCTTTTCAGAGGCCAGGCCATATACAGAGGTTCATTGCACCTCTGCCTATCTATGGACTCCAAAATCAGGAGACCCTGGCACAGTTTCCCAGGTTGTAGTTTAGGGGATTGTGCCAAATGAGCTCTTTAGATGATTTGTAGGCACCAAAGTTGGAAAGCCACGGGGAAAGTCCATTTCATAAATTTGTTTTGAAATTTTTATAGACTTAATCTTTTGACACCACGACATTTGAATCAGAAGGGAAAAGCACTTCCTTTAAGCAGTGCTGAAAAGAGGAAAGCCAAGTGGGAAAGTCTGCAGAATAAACAGGTAATGGATTGATACTAGCATACTTTTTCATATTTGAAAGACCAATTTCAGTTGTATATCACTCACTTAACTGAGTGATCTGTAAATGCTAGGGAATTCACCAACCCTTAGCTTTTGTTTTATGCCCTCTTTAGTAAGTATTGAGAGTTTTTTTTCTTTTTTAATCCTTGGACCACTGATACAATTATATCACAAAATCATCCTTGTGAATTCTAGGCTAAATCCCATGTAGATTCAAAGGATTACTGTTGTAAAAATTAGATTTCATGGGCATCTATGATTCTTATCTTTATCCATTAGTGAAGTTGGCCTTTAGTTTTCTTCTTTTATTCTTGGTGTGTGTGCATGCTTTATATTTATTTATCTGCCCACGTTTTTCCTTACCCAAAGATACTGGTTCCAGAACTCTGTGCTATACATCCAATTCCAGCATCACTATGGAGAAAAGCAGTCTGTCTCCCCAGCATTCTTTACCGCCTTCACTGCCTTTTGACTGCAGAGGAGCTGAGAGCCCAGACAGCCAGCGATGCTGGCGTGGGAGTCAGATCACTTCCTGCGGATTTTAGGTATGCTTGTGCTACCAGCCAGAAAGAACATGGGTCATGAAGTCCTCTTGCAATAGAATGGAACTAAGTTAAAATGTTTTTCTATTTTTTTTTTTACTAAAAAATTTTTTTTTGTTGGTTCTAAGGTTTAAACTCAGGACCTCATGCTTCTGTATTTCTTAAAAGACTTAAAAGAAAACATGGTTATCAAATACATGGGGAAAAATGCATTGTTTGGCTCCTAAGTGAACATCTATCTGCACATTGATTCGTGAGCCCTTTGTTCTTGTCAAGTTAGGGGTAGGAGAGATCTCAGGCAAAATACTCCTTCTTCCAGTGATGATGTTGAAATGAGAGTGAAAACAATTAAGACTCTGCCTTTCTCTTCTAAAACTCCAAATATATACTAAAAAGCAGTTGCCTCAGGATGTTCTTGTCCTTATTGTTTTTTTCTCATTAGTAAATCTCTGTATTACAAAGAAAGTTTTTGCTTAACTACTCAAATTAATTTTGGTTACCCAGTAGACACTAGTTTAAATGGTATAGCCTTTATTAACTCATTAAAATCTTAGGAAACCTTACAAGGTAAGAATTGCTAGCTGCATTTGCAAGTGCAGAAGCTGAAGCACAGGGAGGTTATGTGAACTGCCTGAAGTTGCTCACCTGGTTAATCAGGGGACTTGGATTCTGCCTATAAAGTCTGTGGCTCCAGGTTCTGCAGGCATTCCGAGCTTTGAGATCTCAAACGCCATGCTGTGTTCTTGGGCAGCTATGCCTGATTTGTAGTTGACTTTGTGCAGAATTCCAAATTATGTTGAGATCTAGCTTGGGAACTTGTTTATCTTCTAAAGTAGGAATGTTTTTTAGAGATTTTTGTTTGATTTGTTTTAATTCAGAATGCTATTGCTCTGAGCCTAGCCCTTTTGAAGGATCTGACCAAAAATCAGTTATAAAAATGTCTTTGCAGGTACCCTAACCTAGACTTCGGGTGGAAAAAATCTATCGACAGCAAATCCTTCATCTCAATTTCTAACTCCTGTTCGGCTGAAAATGATAATTACTGTAAGCACAGCACAATTATAGTCCCTGAAAATGCTGCACATCAAGGTGCTAATAGAACCTTCTTAGAAAATCATGACCAAATGTCTGTGAACTGCAGAACGTTACTCAGCGAGTCATCTGGTAAGATCCAGATTGAAGTCTCAACAGATCTTGCAGCAATTAATGGTCTTTCTTACAATAAAAATCTTGCCAACGGCAGTTATGATTTAGCTAACAGAGACTTTTGCCAAGGAAATCAGCTGAATTACTACAAGCAGGAAATACCTGTACAACCAACTACCTCATATCCCATTCAGAATTTATACAATTATGAGAACCAGCCCAAGCCCAGCGATGAATGTACTCTACTGAGTAATAAATACCTTGATGGAAATGCTAACAAATCTACCTCAGATGGAAGTCCCGCAGTGGCCATGATGCCTGGTACGACAGACACTGTTAAAGCACTCAAGGACAGGATGGATTCTGAGCAGAGCCCTTCTGTTGGGTACTCCTCAAGGACACTTGGCCCCAATCCTGGACTGATTCTTCAGGCTTTGACTCTGTCCAATGCCAGTGATGGGTTTAACCTGGAGCGGCTTGAAATGCTTGGTGACTCCTTTTTAAAGCATGCCATCACCACATATCTCTTTTGCACTTACCCTGATGCTCATGAGGGCCGTCTTTCATATATGAGAAGCAAAAAGGTAAGATAACATTCTCTTTTTTCTCAGTGGTTAATTCTTCAGGGTGTCTGAGGGTGTCTTGGAGGGTTGGGAAACTTGAAAGGATGGGGACATGTTGCCCATAGAGATTGCGCCACCAGCCAAGCACAGCTGCCCCATCTTTCCACTAAGGCCAGCCAAATCCTGCCTGTGGAAACTGTTCCAGCAGGTGATGTGGGTGCATTATTTGCTGATGGCACACTCAGGTTTGGGGGTTAGCTGATCTTTGTGTGCTTTACTTATTGATAGAAGTTCAGGTCAAATAAACCTCTTCATGCAAATGTGTGTGCCACCTAGATCTTCACGGGATAGAAATAGGCAAGGCTGCCATTCAGAGGGCTCCTGCTTTAACCTAGGCAAGTAAGCATTTGGTTGGCAAACAGGTGTGTACAGTCACGAGTAAGGTGCCATCTCTCCCGGAAGACTCTTCTTCCATGTTTTTGGGGGCCAGGTAAAGGAAAGAGTCCCAGGCTTCACTGAGCTCAGTTACTCCCCAGTATAGAGAGCTGGATACCAGAGTTCTGAGTAAGTGCTCTGTAGCCCCAAGGAAGGGTTTGTTCTTGAATTTAGTATGGAAATTAAGGTCAAATGCTTTAAGATGGTAAAAGAGCCTCCTTGATAAATAACTTACAAAACTGCTAATTACCAAGCTCTAAGAAGGCAGGAATGTCATTTGTGAGTCGGGGGAGGCGTTAATGGAAGAGGTGAGTTTACAGTCCATAACCAAAAGGAACTAACACAGAGCAGAGCTTGTTAGTGAGCATGCTAGCACAGTGGACAAAGGTGGCTGCAGGCAAAGTGTGGAAATAGCTGAGGAAAGACTTGAAAAGGCAGGAGCTGAGCTGGATGGTGAAGACCCTCAGTGCCAGACCAAAGAGTTTGCATGTAGTCTGAATACTGGGGATACCACTGAAGGAGTTTCAACAAGGATGTTAGTAAATTGATCATTTGAAATGACTAATCTGGTATCAGAATGTACTGTGGGTTGAAATGCAAAACCAAACACAGAAGCAGAAAATGAAATAGAACCAGAGTTCTGTAAGTGAGAGTGGGCTGAGGTGAATGATAATTTCAGGAGACATGACAAATTTAGTTAACATAAATGGCTTACTCTGCCAGACCATACTCTAATCACTTTATGTAGGTTATGTGCTTATATCTAATGTAATAGTGTAATTTGGAGAGGTGTATACTTTTTATTATCTCCATTTTTAGATAAGGACAGTGAGGCAAGTAGAGGTTAACTTCCCCAAGGTCACAGTGGCATAAGGGCAGAGCTGGGAAGGAGTCCAATCAGTCTGGCTCTTGGGGACTTTGCCTTTCACTGTCATGCTAGTGGGCTTCTGGTGTTCTTTAACACCAGGTACTATGCTGAACATTGTATAAAAATGTTATCTTGCTTAATCTCAGCAAGCTTCTGGGAGGCGTGTCTGCATTTTGCCTAGAAAGTGTGATTAGCTCATGGAAGGTCATGTGCTGATCTGAGATAGTCAGGAATGTGTCTGTAGAGGCCACACTGCTCAGGCCTTCCCAATGAACTTAAAACCTGCAGGCTGGGGATGCCCTGATAACAATCGTATGGGCTGGGAAGTTGGGGACAGTAGCAGTGGTGGTAGTAAGGAAGGTAGAAATGTAGGAAGTTGGTTAAAGTTGGCAATTTTAGCCCTTATAGAATGTGAAGAGGAAGTGTTCAGTGAAATGGTGGGATACTTGCAAATTTAAGAGTCGGATCTGAAGGGTGGTCTTCATAAGAGGATGGTTGCAGGAAAAAATATCAGGCTGAGGGGTGGGAAGTAAGAAATGGCATGCTATATTCAGTAAGAAAGGGATTATTTTACATTGCAAAACTTCATCCATTTATCTGATCCAGAGCCCACAGACTCCTGATGTCCTGCAGAAATAACTGCCCCTTCCTTAGCTGACACTCAGGCCTGTTGCTAGTGCTCCTCCTGCTGCTCTTAACAGACCCCTGTGCTCCTTACCGAGCCCTGTGCCTTTGCTGATGCTGGTCCTTCTCTCAGCATATTCTCCCCTGTTGCCCCAGTTAGAGTCTACCTGTTCTGAATTTTGCTTCCTCCTGAGGCCTCCGTTAGTTCTGTCCTGGCTCTCCATCCTGCTGGCTTTGTGCTTTCCTTCTCTTTAGGTACTCATTGCACTTCATCCTCTTGGGATGCTTTATTTTGACAGCATGGAAAGGGAAGCCAGTATATATTTGCATTGGTTCCATTTTAGGCAGCTAGGAAAGTGCTTTGGCACAGAGTGGTAGTCCTTGGCAGACCCTTCTTCTGATAGCCTGTACTGTTTGCAAGGACTGCTCCTCTGTCCCTCCGACTGGTTTCCACAGGGTTGCCTAGCCAAGTGCCTCTCATGGGTGAGTGTTTGCTGACTAGTAGTCGGGTTACATGGGAAAGGGCTCATGAAGTACTTCAAACGAGTTTTTAGAAAATGAGATTAGCAATTTTAGACCTAAGTCTCCAAGTAAAAACTAGACAGAAATGTGCTTATTTGAGGGAGGACAGAGGGATTAGGAAAAGCAAATAGACCAAAGTAGACAATAAAGCTACTTCATTGATGTGAATAAACAAATACTCTTCATTACCTTTTGTTCCATTTAAAAATGATTAACCAATATCTTGAAATTCCATCCAAAACAGGAATAATATCTGGGGAACATTACAATTGGAATTACATTTGTGGCTTAGGTTCTAGGGATTTAAGATTGTTTTAGTTCTGTACAATTCCATTTTTCACTTTATAACTAGAGTTGATGGCGTTTTCCCTTCTTATTTCATTGAGACTATTGTAATGTTTTGATTTTTTGTGTGGATTCTTTACTCTTTAACTTTGATAGTTCCAATTAGCAATTTTTATCATCAGGTTGTGTTTTCAATACTTAGAACTTGAACTATTTCCTTTTGACTCATTCTTAAATAATTTGCTTATTTGTATACATTAGATTTTTGTGTGTTTTATTATTTTTTCTTGGGTGGTACCGGAGTTTGAATTAAAGGCTTTGTACATGCTAGACAAGCACTGTAGCACACCTCCAGCCCTCACACTTAGAAGTAGTTTATACCAAAGGATGTAACAAATAGGAACTAAAAATTCTTAACATAAATAGGTAGAAAAACGTAGACCCTTCTAAGTGAAGACCAGTTATAGTAGTGTGAAGAACACTTAGCTGAGCTACGCTAACATGCCTTGTATGTTTAAGTGACTATTTATGGACAAGTGTTTTATGACTCTTTTCTGCTAAAGGTCAGTAACTGTAACCTGTATCGCCTTGGCAAAAAGAAGGGACTGCCCAGCCGCATGGTGGTGTCTATCTTTGATCCCCCTGTGAATTGGCTTCCTCCTGGTTATGTAGTAAATCAAGACAAAAGTAACACAGATAAATGGGAAAAGGATGAAATGGTAAGTTTTTTGGTAACTGGAGGTATTTAGTTTTTGATGAGCTGAAGAATTTCTTTTTTATTTGTTTGTTTGTTTCCTTTCCTTGGTATGTTTACAATAGAGTAGGTATTTGATATGTTGAATGAATTCCTTTAAATAGCCTGTCTTCCTGTAATTTAGAAGTATTGTCATTTTGATGGAGGACAATTTCTCTTTTTATCTTACTTTTTTGAAAGGCAGAACATTTTATATTTTGACCTAAAAATAAAAGCAAAACCCTATAAATTTTCTTTTACTATTATATATTACAGTTTAGCTCTGTTAAGTGAAATAGCTTTTCAGTGACTTGTGATGTCAAGGCTGTGTCTAGAATAATTCATTTCAGTACAAGCTAGCTTTGGCAGCTCCGGGTTTTCTCAGGACCATTTCTCCTTTTGTGAACTGAACTGAAAAAATGCCATGCATAAAGGTTGCTGTCTTGTGGAAATCATTCATGTCTTGCCAATGACTTGAGTACTCCACATATTGGCCACAGCTGCTTCCCTTTGTTTTGTCCAAGGCCACCAGGGGGCAGCTGAGAGGCCTGTGCAGCGCTGACTGCCATCCAGCCAGTGGCTGGAGAGAGCTCCCGTGCCTCTTCCAAGTTACAGACAGGCAACTTTGTTCCTCAGGTTCTCTTGCGTTAATGATGAGGTGGCTTGTGTTACTTCATGTTTATTTCAAGCTCACAGTGGTAACACCATATCTCTCACAGGTTATATTTTCTAAATATTTTTTCTTCACGCCTTGTTTTGGACATGAGTATTCTAGATACATGTTTGCAGGTAACATGCTCCGTGATTCCATTCTGATTTATACCTGGTGTTATTTGGTTTTATTGTTTTGTTTTGATTTTTGTGACAGGGTCTCACTAGGTAGCTCTGATTGGCCTTGAACTCTCCATTCTCCTGCCTCAGCCTCCTGAGTGCTGGGATTACAGGTGTGTAATACCATGTTGGACTTACTGAGTATGTAACTCATGTAGTATTTGACTTATCACAGAAATGGAACTTATCTGGAAAAACATTAAAAGAATACTTTAATGCAAATTAGGGTGGATAACTGACATTCGTTACTTAGAATATATAGAACCTTAGTAAAAATGTGTAAATTTTGAACTTTAGAAAAAATACTGCATTTCTCTGAAAATTCCAGTATAAATCATCATTCTTTGTAAATACTGTTTCATGGCATAGTTTACTCTAAAAATATTGTAGCATAAAGGCGACATTGCATGTCAGGAATTTGGAGTTTTTTTTTTTTTTTAAGATACAATACAAAGCTTTGGTTCTTGGAAGACATTAAAAATACTACTTAGACTTTCTTTTAATGAGTAACATGTACTGAAATAGGTCCTTGCATTTCGTTCAAAAGCCACGATATATTTTGCTTGTGCCCTTCCTATTCTCCCCACCTGTCAGCAAATTGGTTTAGGTGAGTCATTACATATGACTGTCTCCTAGAAGAGAGTGTGGAGGTAACTTGGGTAGAAAGGTGACTTGAAGTGTCACTCAAGTGACTATGGCTCAAGTGGTGGCATGCCTGCTTAGCAAGACCCCAAGTTCAAATCCCAGTACTGCAAAACAACAAAATCAACCCCCCCCAAAAAAAAAAAAACTGTCAGAGAAAGGAGTTTCACGTTGGTATTTATTCTGTAAGGCCTGGAAAGCATACTGTGTAGTAGGGATCTCCCCCCCACCTTTTTTTTTTAACAGATGAAAGATATGAAACCCAGAGGCATTAAAAGACTTTGCCCAGGATTACTCTATTTACTTGTGATTAAAAGCCACCTATGGTAGCACCTTACTAAAGAAAAACAGGATTTGTTTTTAATTCTTAAAAAATTATTTAGTCCAAATAATTTTAAATTGCAGTTTGGCCTATTCTGACTTAAGAACCAAACAATAGTCAAAAACATCTCATGTTACCTTGGAAAAATGTAGAGGTTTTGACAGGAAATAGTTCCTTGTGGTCTGCCACTGTAGTTTCTTTTGGTGTTCTTCCTTATTCTACAAAAAAAAATTGTTTTAATTAAAAAACAATGAACCATATATAGTAATAGATATTTTGCTAGTCTCACTGCTATGATTTCTGCTCAGGAAAACATAGTATTCCTATCTCTTTTGAGTCTGTTTTAAAATGAAATGTTTGCCTATTTAAAAAATGCTTGGCAAACATTTGGAAAATGTTTTGTCAGAATACTCTGGAAAGTTAGTATAGTCAAAATTGAAGCATGCCCTCCTGCCTTTCCCGCTTTGGTAAAGTGGTGTTGTATGTGTGTGTGGGCCCTTGTGTGTTTATTGTGTAACAGAAATTTGGCATCTTTCTAGCATTGCAAAAAAGTTACATCGTTACTGAATCCTAGCCCATTATTAAGGTTGTCATTCACAAATAAGCTTTTGCCAAAAAAAAATTGGAATTAGCAAAGATCTTCTGACAGAAATTGGATTGTTGTGTTTCATGTTAGTCTAAATTTTCTTCTATTTTTGTCAGTTATGCTCTAATCGGTTACCCTGATTACTGCAGCTCAGAGAGGAGAGGGAAAGCATGATTTCTCAAATTCAGAGCTTACTTCAGTGATTGCTTTTATTTTTTAAGCAAAGCAAGTTAGTTTTACATTGTAGCAAATGTGCTTTGATTTGAAGTAGAAGAGAGGAAAAAAACTTACAAAACACTTCTGTGCATTTTTAGTGTTATAAGATTTTAAAAATAATTTCATCTGTTTTTATACTCTCAGTTAATTGAAAAGATAATGCTTTTTGTATCTGAAAATTCATTTTATTAATTTGAAAACCTTTTGAGATTCAGGTCATCATGTTTTAAAACTTCGCCAGCCAAAGGGAAGATCTGTGATCAGTATGAGTGTGCTCTTTGTGTGTCTTTTCAGAGTTAGGCTTCGTAGCTGAAGTTTTGCATTGCGGACACTAACTTTATATTCATGTTCAGAATCCTTAACTTACAGCTTTGCACTGGATAAAGGCCATTTTATAACTTAGAAAATGAACATTCAAAGAACATGCTTTACTTTGTTTATATGATTAAATAACTTATTTTATGTTAATTGAAAACAAATGGCCATGATTTTAAAGTTGCCTTTTAGTATTTGTGGTTGTCATTTGAAATTATCCATAACCCTTGCTTTTATTGAGTTTCAAACCCTTTTAAAAACAGCAGCTATGTTTCCCCTCCTTCCCTATTCCACCCCCCACCTCATTTCAGACAAAAGACTGCATGCTGGCTAATGGCAAACTGGATGAGGACTGTGAGGAGGAGGAGGAGGAGGAGGAGGAAGAGGAGGAAGAGGAGGATCTGCCGTGGAGGGCTTCCAAGGAGGAGGCCGAGTATGAAGACGACTTCCTAGAGTACGATCAGGAACATATACAGTTTATAGATAACATGTTAATGGGATCAGGAGCTTTTGTAAAGAAAATTTCTCTTTCTCCTTTTTCAACCACTGACTCTGCATATGAATGGAAAATGCCCAAAAAGTCCTCTTTAGGCAGTATGCCGTTTTCATCAGATTTTGAGGATTTTGACTACAGTTCTTGGGATGCAATGTGCTATCTGGATCCCAGCAAAGTTGTTGAAGAGGATGACTTTGTAGTGGGGTTCTGGAATCCATCAGAAGAAAACTGTGGCGTTGACACAGGAAAACAGTCCATTTCTTACGACTTGCACACTGAGCAGTGCATTGCTGACAAAAGCATAGCGGACTGTGTGGAGGCCCTGTTGGGCTGCTATTTAACCAGCTGTGGAGAGAGGGCTGCTCAGCTTTTCCTGTGTTCACTGGGGCTGAAGGTGCTCCCAGTAATTAAAAGGACTGGTCGGGAGAAGGCCCCGTGCCCTGCTCGGGAGAGCCTTAGCAGCCAACAAAAGAGCCTTTCAGGGAGCTTCGCTGTGGCCCCAGCCCCGGCGGCCAACCCTCGCTCTGCTGTTCGGACAGGCTTGGAGTATGGCTGTTTGAAGATCCCACCAAGGTGTATGTTTGACCATCCAGATGCAGATAAAACCTTGAATCACCTTATATCGGGGTTTGAAAATTTTGAGAAGAAAATTAACTACAGATTCAAGAATAAGGCTTACCTTCTGCAGGCTTTCACACATGCCTCCTACCACTACAACACTATTACTGGTAAGGAGTCCCAGGGTCACACTCCCGTCCCTGAAAAGAAAAGTGTCAGTTGCATTGCTTGGGCCTTATAAAAAATGATCTGTGCATGTACAGTCTTAGTGCTTAAAACGCATGGCCAGGGGAGGAAGCAAAAGAAAACAGAATTCTTTAGTTCCCTCATCTTTTTCAGAACAAGAACTGCTTCAAAACCCCTGACAATTGGGAGTGAAGAGCTCTTATAGACTCTTGCAGATGTCATTTTATATGCTGCAGAGTTACAGAAATTTAAACCTTAGGATTTTGCTGTGTTTCCTATCTTCCCCTGCCCAAGTACCTTTCTCATGCCTCTTCAGGGCTGCTTTTTGGTTTTTGATTAATTCATATATTCTGGATGTATTTTCATGTCTTTTTTTTTTTTCTAGACAAAAAGACCCCTCTCAGGGTTTTTTTAAATCTAAAGATGGAAAGATTAAAAGAAACTATTCCATAGGAAGGCTTCATGTCCCTCAGCCAGCTCTGCTATCATCTTCCACTTTTTACTGTGCTCTGTGTTTTCCTCCTTTATTTAATAGGCTCCTAATCTGAGAGAAGAGAAGAGAAGGAAGAATTAAGTCCCCCAACCAAAATTAACTTCAGTTTGTGAACTACAGATAAAGTTTATGTTTTGTTTTCTGTGTCAGAGCAGTAAGTGTTGCATCCAGAATATCAAAGCAAAGTATAGGGTTTGTAGTTTGTGTAATATAAACAGTGTAGGATAAGATTATCTGTAACAATATACATATTGTTAAAAACTTTCTTGTCCTGGATAGAAAAGCTGATGTAATAAGTAAATCCTGATTTTCCTTATGGAGAAATGATGTATGGTTTCCATACACTCTGGGTTACAGCCTAGCTCAGTGTTTTTTGCCTCTTCACCCACTGTGTATTCTGGGACAGGTCACCTTACCTGCCTTAGTTTCCTCAGTTGAATGGTTCTTTTAATGACTGAGCAAATCAGATGTTGGTTAGCATTGACAGCTTTTCACATTTTGACAGCCATCTTTCCTGGTCTTTGCTTACTTACACAATTCTTCTCAACCGAGAGGTTTGCGTCAGATTCAGCATTTTCAAGTTGAGAAAAGGGCCTTCTTTTCCTATCTGTCATTCGTGTAACCCATGTAATCTAGGAGTTATGAGGAATGGTGTCATTTATCCACATTTGAGTGTGGTGGGGCACTGCAGTGGTGGCAGCAGAGCATAGTGCATGGAACGTGAATGTGCCACATGTGATGGAAACTCGTTGGTGATGCCCAGCACCTGCATGGCTAGCATAGCACCAGAAGAGAAGGGGGCTGTGGTCACCTTAGCACCTGAGAAATGGCTTTTTTCTTAATGTTCATTACTCTTTTTGGAGACTTGAAGGTTTATATATAAGAAATTTCCTTAAATTGCCATTAAAACCTAATTCCCAGAGGCTGTAGTAAGTACACAAACCTAATTCCCAGAGGCTGTAGTAAGTACACATCAGATCACTTTCTTCTTGAGAAAGACATGTGAAAATGATCCTAAGTAGAAGTCTTGACAGTGAGTCTGGAGAACAGACCTTTCTGCTGGTTACAGACTTGGAAAAAGTGTGAATGTTATTGCATGGGCTAATAACTCCACTTTGGGTCCTCATGCAGATTGTTACCAGCGCTTAGAATTCCTGGGAGATGCGATTTTGGACTACCTCATAACCAAGCACCTTTATGAAGACCCACGGCAGCACTCCCCAGGGGTCCTGACTGACCTGCGCTCTGCTCTGGTCAACAACACCATCTTTGCATCCCTGGCTGTGAAGTATGACTACCACAAGTACTTTAAAGCTGTTTCTCCTGAGCTCTTCCACGTCATTGATGACTTTGTGCAGTTTCAGCTCGAGAAGAACGAGATGCAAGGGATGGATTCCGAGGTTAGTACTAATTAAAAATACATTGAATTCAGTGTTGAAGAAATCCAACTAGGAGTTTCGGCAGTTTGAGTCTGATTTCATGGCTGGCCAGGGCTGCGGAACTGCATGCTGCACATTGTCTGGGGAGAACTGAGAGTGACTGCACGGTTCAGGTAAGCTTGTGAAATATGACTGCTCACCCCATGAACATGTGGCCATTCAGGTGAAGAGGAGGAGCCAAGGTTTTTAGTTATTTCTGATTTCCAGCCTTTCATTAGATTAGATTTCTAGTATTGAGACTAGCCACAGACGTGAACCTTCTTCTCCACCCCCAAAGTAGGCTTTACCTACTTAAAAGCTCAGTGTGGTTTATTCTGTATTTCTTTCTTTTGTAAATGGATCAGAAATACTTGCTAATTTCTCAGGTGAGTATCACAGATGTATATTCTGCTTTACTTGCATAAAGTAGGAAAATCTCATTTAAAATCGCAACCTCTAAACTTGTGACCACTGGAATTCGGGAGGCATCTACTTCAAGTTCAGCCAAAGGTTCTTCAGTGGTGGAGTGAAGTCTGATGTGTGTGCACAGGGCACTGCTTTGGATTTTTTTCGGGAAGAATCGTGCTCAGGTCTTCTCCGTCTTCTCTGCTCTTTGGTGGCATTCATTGGCATCCCGTGGTCCCAACTCGTATTTCTTCTTCCATTCTCTTTTGTAGACTTCTTAGAGAGTCAGAACTTTGTTCTTAGCTCACTGTCCTTGCTTTAATTTATACCTTCCCTTTTTTAAAATTACCCCAAACTGTTGTTGGAAAGTAAGGAAGCTGTTTGGCTTTCTGTGAGAAAGCTGAGAGACCAGGTTTTGAAGTCCAGCAGTGTCAGTCAGCCATGCGCTGAAGGAAGCCAGTGGTGAGGACTCTTGCTCCCACTGGCGCCTTCTGCGCTTGCCCAAAGTTAACGATCAGAGCCAGAGCACAAAAGGCAGCACGGTGAGGGGAAAAGCTGCCACTCATATGCTCCAATGTCATTTCTAGTCTTTTCTGTAGAAATAGTTAAGCTGTAAATTTGAGGAATTTGCTACAATTAGATTTAAGTTTTCTTTTGATGCCAGTGGGGCATACTGGTTCTGTTACTTTGTGTTCATTCTTTTATTTCCTTTTGTTTGTACAAATATATGTATAGAAGTTACAAAAACTTGTTGGAAATGTCATGATCTGGCTGCTCTGATTTAGTATTTATAGTATTTGATCTTGAGAAAGTCTCTCTATCTTTCTGACCTTAGTTTTCTCAGCTATGAAAGAGAATTAAACTTAGTTCTAAAATTCCTTTCTATCTCAGAGCTGCGAGATGTGGGTAATAAGCATCTTGTTTTTCTACTCAGCATATGAATCTCTAGAACTTTGAGTGGCTAAATCCATTTAAAAATCAAATTTTTCTTCTGTTTTTATGTATTTTGCACAAATAATTTGTGTTTATTTTAGAAAAATCAGAAAAAACAAGTAAACAGAAAAGAAAATTAAGCTTAATTGAAGTTGCCTAAATATGCTGCCTCATTTTGAGACGTGTTATTACTGATGTGTATAGATATGAATATGTATGAAGTATAAAATGGGGACTTATACACAGGATGTTCTTTTCAAACAGTGTTGTGGCTGTCTTTCCATGTGTTGACTGGCATTATGATTTGCATGTGGCTCGTTTATTTAAATGTCCCTTTGTGGATAGAGAGCTTTTAGGTGGGACTTATAGTAAACATGAATGTGGTAAGTAGGCTTAATATCCGGTTACCTCATGAAAATAAATTTCTACAGAAAGAATTGCAATTCATAGCCAAAGAATTAGAATTTTGAAAGGCTTTTTGACACATACGTAAAATTTTTTCTATTAATTTGAATTTATACTATGTTATAGTGAATATGTATTAAGTGGTTTAATGAAAAGAGAAAAAAATCTTCCAGAAAGAATTTCCCTGCCCAAAATTGGCAGTCTCCACCACCCCAAAACAGTGCATATCCTTGCCAGGGCTGTCCAATTAGCATTCTCCTACTCAGTTCTGGCCTGACTTTGAGGGATGGCTCTAATGTTCACTGCTTTGATTATTAGCGAATTTGAAAAGAGTTTCCAGACATTTATTGAATTTATTATAATTCTGTGTGAAATTAGTTTTTGTTTTAATTTAGAAATAATCTTTTCCCCTGTGCTGAGTACAGAGGACTAAATGGGGTGAGGATTTTTTTTTTCTTTTTTTTTAAGATAAGATGATGTTTGTGAAAAGCTTGTTACAATGTAGGAGTCATGCCCTGGATGGTTGGTTTGTGACTCTTGTGAAATCATAGAAATCATAGCTACACAGAAGTGCAAGTCTGTGCTCTGCCTTTCAAAGTGGCCATTTTGCTTACCAGTGACTTTTCTCTAATAGCTTAGGAGATCTGAGGAGGACGAAGAGAAAGAAGAAGACATTGAAGTTCCAAAGGCCATGGGGGACATCTTTGAGTCACTTGCTGGTGCCATTTACATGGATAGTGGGATGTCACTGGAGGTCGTTTGGCAGGTGTACTTTCCTATGATGCGGCCACTGATAGGTACTGTTGCTTTTTTTCGAAAGAAACAAAAACAGTATTTAAAAACACTTCAAGGGTATTATTCACATTGTTCTTTCATTTTGATTACAGAAAAGTTTTCTGCAAATGTGCCCCGTTCCCCTGTGCGAGAATTGCTTGAAATGGAACCAGAAACTGCCAAATTTAGGTAAGCAGAAAATGTATGTGGAAAAAAATTAATCTACCTAAAAGAAGGAAAAATTCTCAAAAATACCATAAACTTGTGACTCTGAAAAATACTTACACTGAGCAAGCAGTTATTCAGTTTCCATCTTTAGTCTGATTGACTGCTCTTTTTTTCCTTTTGTTTTCACAAAGCAACGCTGAATCAATGCTGAAACGGCAGCCTTGTCCATAACTGGCGATAAGTCGTAACGCACGTTTCCGTTGTGCAGTTTCAGCTCCTATGTGGGACTCTCAGCCTGAGAGTGCCTGTGCAAAGCTGACTGACAATAATAATAAATACTTCTGACTTCTAATTCAAGCTGTCTGGCTTTTTACAGCCCGGCGGAGAGAACTTATGATGGGAAGGTCAGAGTCACCGTGGAAGTAGTAGGAAAGGGGAAGTTTAAAGGTGTCGGCCGAAGTTACAGGATTGCCAAATCTGCAGCAGCAAGAAGAGCCCTTCGAAGCCTCAAAGCTAATCAACCTCAGGTCCCCAACAGCTGAAACCCCTCTTGAACTCAAAACCAGAAGACAGAGCAACAAGCCAGAATTAAGGGGGAAGTATTTAAATCGAAAAGGATGATTTAAAGTTGATATTGAGCAGAATGAATTGAAGACAGAATTTACAGTTTGTTTGATAACAAGATAGATAACAGAATAAAACATTTAACATATGTATAAAATTTTTGGAACTAATTGTAGTTTTAGTTTTTTGCGCAAACACAATCTTGTCTTCTTTCCTCACTTCTGCTTTGTTTAAATCACAAGAGTGCTTTATTGATGACATTTAGCAAGTGTTTGAAATAATTATAGACAGATTTTTTTTGTTTGTTTTGAGTTTTTGCATTTAATTCCTGTCAATTTTGCTTAGTGTTAGAAGGCCAGGGAGCTTAACCCTCAAGAGCCCCTGGAATGTGATGGAGCCCTCTGAACATGCTCAGTCGATGCAGAGGCCAGCCCTATCATGGCTGACGGGCTGGGCACAGGGAAGCGGCTGGTGGGAGACATGCCAGTGTCGCCTTTCCACGTGATGTTCCAATCGCTATTGCACTTCATAGGAAGGGAAAAAGTTTTAATCCACATAGGCTGGCATGTTGGTGAGTCAAATTTGAGTTTTCTTACACCACATAGTCCTGCATTTAAAAAAAAAAAAATAGGTTCTTGCCTTAACAGTAAAACCTTCGTGGATGTTCTTTAATTTCTGGTCAGTTTTGGAGCAAATTATTTTATATTTCCTTCATTTTAGTATGCATTAGATGTTGAGACTGTGATATTTACAGCTCACTAGTCCAGTTGTAACTTAAATTATTACCAGATTATACTAGAATTCCTGACACGTGTGCTGAAGACATTTTAAAAACCAGAATATGTAGTCTGTGGATGTTCTTTTGGCATCATGATAAAAATAATCTTTGACTAAATACCCAATTTTATGAAAAACCTCCTGCTAGGTAGTTTCACTGGTGGAAATGTTTTGTGGCAAAGACTTTTGCCTTGTAGGCTGTTGTCTAAGAAAATAATCCTTAGACATATCACACCTAAAATATGCTGCACATCCTAGAGTTGGTTGGTTAAGGAAGCAAAGCAAGAGCGCCTTTTTACCTTCGTCTCATGGAAACCCCTGCTGTGCCGTTCAGTGTCTCACGCACTTTTCACCTACCAAAGCCGTGCTGGCAATGCCATTGGAGTCTAACATTGCGATAAACTGCCATAACTTTGATACGTCTGTGATTTAGGTCATTAATTTAAATAAACTAGCTCATTCTTTCCATCTTGGGAAAAAAAGGAAAAAAAAAATCAGGCATTTGCCTAAGTTTCTTTAATTAGACTGTAGGCAGTCTTCACTTAAATACCTCAGTTTTTCTTTTCTTTTGCATGCGTTTCCCCCGTTTGGTGCTATGTTTTATGTATTATGCTTGAAATTTAAAATTTTTTTTTGCACTGTGTAACTATAATACCTCTTAATTTACCTTTTTAAAAACTGTGGGTTGGTCTTGCACTCCCACCAACATAGAGGTTTGCTGCAATTTGCTGCATTAATTATGCTGGAAGTTTGAGAAAGCTGAGCAGAGGTGGCTCTGATTTCCAGCACACCATTCTGGAGTTGATGCTAAGGCTGCATTCATGTTTTACATTTCAATAGGCTTTTCCTGCACCCTCCACCCGCAGAGAAACGCCTCTGTGTGTGTGAACACTGAGCACAGAGGCTGTCAATTCTGCTAAGGTACCCTGAGGGAAGGGGGCATTGAGAGTCTCCAGCATTAAATTGAGATCTAAATTGCTAAGTGAGTTTTTTTGAGCAAATTAATTTAGGTGACTTGTTTTAAAAATACTTAATTCTGATTTTGAACTTCAGATGTCTATTGATTAAAAAAAAAAAGAAGGAAACCTTAATGTGAGACATCATGGCAAGTTAAAACCAAGCAATTAACAAGTAAGGCTGGATGTGGATTGTGTCAGTGAGGGTGGTCTGTGATGGCATCACAGATCTCTTGATAATTTATAACCACCTGAAGCTAGGAGTGTTGGGCTTTGCATCGTGTCTCAGGCACTTATCCCATGTTATGGGACTTTCTTGCCTCTTGGCACAAAAATCAGATTGTTTCACAGTTAGGATTCCTGGTGGGAGAAAAATGCCTCAATATATATTTTGTAACCTTTAAGAAGAATATTTTTTGTTAATATTAAAAAGTTCAGACTTGGATATGATTAGGTCACACATCCTCAGGGGTTCCAATTTCCTGCTACTATTCAGAATATTTTATCAACAGCAAACTGTAGTTATTTCTTTTTTTGTTGTCGTTGGAGAAAAATAGCTGATACTAATTTGACTCACAGTTTGAAGCATTCTATGGTCCCCTGGTGACTAAGTTAAAAAATAAAAAGTATGAGTGAGACGTATGAAATGGTTATGAACACTTTTGTGCTGCTGAGTTTTAATGCTGTCAAGTTTCCTTAGTTTCATTTGTTGAAATGTTTCGCATCTGTCGGTTAAGGAAAGAGTCACTCTGTCGCCCACTTTACGACCATGTGTGTATCCTCTCACGCCTGGGATTGCAGCGTGAGTCAGAATGTAATGTGGAAGCCGGCTGGTGGGTGTGTCTGTGCCCAGCACGTCTGTAAGGACTGGTGAGGTACAAGTGAAAAGGCAACTGCAGAAATTCCTTACGATGCTTGCGCGCAGGTCAGCTGGCGTAAACCTTCATTGTAAATGTCTTTCTTTTATAATCTCCTTTCTGCAGTCCTAACTATGCTGCATTTTTAATAGCTTTTCCCCTCTGTTCTGTTTATGTAGCACAGATAAGCATTGCACTTCGTACCATGCTTTACCTCATCTCAAGAAAAATGTGCTTCACTGAGAGGAAAACATGTGGCTTGGCCTTGCTGCTGTTCTGATTTCTTGATCTGAAAAAAGATAATTGTAATGCCTGCAATGTGTCATATACTTGCACAACTTAAATAGGTCATTTTTGTCTGTGGCATTTTTACTATTTGTGAAAAGTGTGGCAAAGATTTGTTAACTGAACTCCTAATTGTGTTTTTAAAATGTTTGTTACATTTCTTTTTTCTTTTACTTTATGTGAAATGATTGCATTTAGAATGACCTCTAACACTCCTGTAATTATCCTTTAAAATACTGATATTTTCACTTTCTTCACAATCACTTGCCCTTAGAAAGATAGATACCTTGCCTAAATACAGGAGACTTGAGGCCACTTTGGTTCTGTTGTTTTGTTCCTAAAGACAACAGCTACAGTCTCGGTCATTACCTGAAGATAGGCAAGGCTGTGGAATGCAGAGAATAATCAGAACCCAGATCCACCACAGTCTACTTGGAAGGCTCTGTTGATTTAAAACTTTATTTCTTGCTTGGTTAGGGCATCTAATCCTTTTGCACAGAATATAAGCCAGCAAATGGAGGCAACTTTTTAAACTGCATCTGAAATTATGTTTGTGTCCTTGGCTGGTTTGCATTGTCTGTGGAGGAGGAACTCACGCCACATGTGTGTCACCCTCCGTGGTTATTTTAATTACATCTAAGTAGGTATATTTTTCCAACTGCTTTTCTGGAATTTAATTATTTCCAAATAAATTTCTTTATTTTATATCGTACATGAGAAATTTTAAAGATGTGTTTAAGACCAGGAGTAGTAAAATGATTCTGAAAGTTGTTGGAGACACTAGTAATAACACCTAGGGAATTTGCCTTGAGACTGTCGTATTGTCCGCTAGCAGTGAAATGATCTTTCAGAACCAGCTTGTAAATATACTTCAATCATGGTTTGTTTTCCTAGTCCATTTTGATTTGGACATTAAAGCACAGGTGATGTAAGTATTACAGATACATGCAGAGCTCACTGCCACGGCAGGTTTTGCATAGCAGAAGCGCAAGCAGAAGTGAACAGGAAGAAACTTTCTGCCTTTTCCGCTCTAGCTAGCGTAAAGGAAGATCACTAAAATCAAGTAGAGCTAACGTATAATTTCAGTGACAATAAAATGTTACCGTCACTTGCTGCAGCTGCTTTTTAAGGAACACGGTGTAACTCGCTCACACAGTGATCACCTGCAGAAACTTGCAGTCTGCACCTTATGGATCACGGTGACTTTAGTTGTGTTTCGTTTGTTTTTTGTTTTGTTTTCTTTGTTTTGTTTTTTTTTGTAATAATTGTAGCCAAGTAAATCAATAAAGTTATGGTCTGTTCATTTTGTGTGTCCTTTTATCTTTTTTTTTTTATGATAATAGAAAAGGTTTGAAATGTTTTAATTCCATAGTGAATCATATGAAATATGCATGTCTTAATATGATCAAATTTTGTTTACCAAGTTCTGCCTCCTGTCCACCTGTAGAATTATATGATAACAGTTATCTTTGTCAAGACTTAAATAATACCAGTGTGTTCTTCTAAAAATTTGTCAGCCAGGCATTGGTGGCTCACGCCTATAATCATTGCTGCTCAGGAGGTAGAAATCAGGAGGATCGCAGTTCGAAGCCAGCCCGAGCAAATAGTTCACAAGACCCTATCTAGAAAAAACCCTTCACAAAAAAAGGGCTGGTGAAGCGGCTCAAGGTATAGGCCCTGAGTTCAAACCTCAGAGCTGCAAAGAAAAAACAATTTTTGTCATAGCTGACAGCTGTAGTATTTATGACATGTTTGACAAAATCCTTACTTGAATTTGGTTATTATGAAACCAAGTGGACATCAGACTTACTTGCAGATTTTTAGAACATGTTCCCAGTATTGTTGGTTAAGAAAGAATTCTATTGTTTCAAGCTCTTGTCCCAACCTTTTTATAACTCAGTGAACCAAGCACTAAGAGGAAGCTATATGAAGATAGCAAGCAGAATTTTTTTGGAATAAGAAAGAAAATGTACTTTTTCTTTGTAAGTTTAAATGAGTTCTTTCCTTTCCCCTGATTGCTCTAAACTAAAGAAGAAAGAAAAGTATATGTATTTTAATCCTGAGAATTGGGGCCAGTGCCACATGCCTGGGTGAATTGATGTTACCACCCAAGTCTCAGTGCACCACTC